ATGGGTATTATTCAGTCTTTCATAAGAATAAAGCTTAATTATTATCGTATGATCGCGAGGGTCATAGTTCCCCCCTCAAAAGAAATAATGTTTCTCAAGAAAACATTTTGCGACCTCCCAGGGTCAACAATTTCCAAGCTTAATTAAAGAACTCCATTCTGAAGTATTTCTAAAAGTTAATTTGGGCAGACTCTTGGTGTTCTTGAAATTTGCAGAGGATCTGGAACTGACGCAGGAAGAATGGGGACAATTATATGCTGTTATTCATCCCACTGTACTTTAATAATCAAATTTGAGAGCTGTAATATAAGGCGATGATGTAGGCAGTAAAATCATGTAAGACTCGAACATTGCGAAGTGATTAGAGCGATGGGTTGTTGTCCACCATCGACCACTTTTGGACATCGTTAGTCAGTTAATTATGCGAGTTCGCAAGCCCACCTTTGCATACAAATTAGTTCAGCTGTGCAGGAAAAGCCCCAAGAGAGTACCTTCAAGTGACTTATTATCATAAAAACAATAAAAACATAAAATAACTTAACAAGGATGAATTGAAACAGGTGACTTACAATTGCTATCAATAAAATCAGACACGAGATACCGTTTTAAAAACTTTATTAAAAACCAATAACAAAAAGAGTCAAATACACAGTGATTTGCAAGGAAAAGGGCGGAATGAAAATTAATCCTAGCTTTGACTGACTATTACAAATCCGTTTTCTCCCTTCTATTACGAGGAATAATAAATAACCCTTCCGTGTCTACACAATTTTCCTATGGCCTCTAAGCCAAGAGTTCGACTTTCTTTGTTTCTTGCGCTTTGTCTTGTTCTTTGTAGTCGGTCTTTTAGCTTTTGCTTTAAAAGAGGCTTCCTTTCTTCGTGATCTTGACAGTTCGTACACCGTTTCTTGTGTCTGTAATGGACTGCGAGTACTAGTTGGGCGATTTTTTCCGGAATTATCCGCTTCACTTTCGTAAACGACGACTTTAACTTTAGGTTGCAGTCTCGCCTCTTGTAAATACTGTCCGGTCGCTGTATGTGGTCTAACTGATGAACATCCGCGAGATGGTTAGCTAATCTGACAAGGTACTTCGCCCCGCACCATGAAATCGGACAGTTTCTGCAAACTCTCTTGTAAGCCATGTTCAAAACACTGTTGACAGTTCGATGGCTGAACACAAATGACTTCTATTTCGCAAATAGTCAGGTTATACAGAGTATTAGAAAGGCCAAACACAGGCCAGAAAGGCCATAACCAGGCCAGAAAGGCCAAAGCCAGGCCAAAAGGAGACAAACGGGCCATTTTCAGTCATGTTTTTTTTGCACACACGCGTGGGTGTCGCGCGTCGCTAGTCACGCAACAGCTTTCAATATTGGAATCATCATCTTTATTAAGTGTAATCACAAATAACAGTACCTGATTAAAAAGTTTTGTTCTTCCTTTAGTAATTGGTATTTCAAATTTCAGATTTGTTATTTATCGCACAAGTTTACTGTTATTGTTGTTATGATCAAGTCATCAATAGTTTGATACGTTGTTTACAGTTTTCACTGAAATGCAACAATACAAAGGTCCACGAAATAAAAAATTCTGTAACATTCATAGCAAGTCTAGTCTTGATCTTCGTTTGGCTCTTTTTACCTTCGTTTGGCCTTTTTAGCCTTGCTTTGGCCCGTCTGATCTTCTAAATAGCTGGTCGATGTAAGACGTATTATTATTTATCAAGGAGAACACTTAGTAACCCTGCCTTCACCCATTTTCTATAAAAGAGACGCGTTACTTTCTGATGTTTGGTTTCCTATCAGAACGCGTGCGGTTCAAACTAAAAAGATGTGGAACAGTGACCTCCATTACAACCTTATTCAAAAAGGTGCTGGAAATTATGAAGACAGCGAAGAAAGCGAAGTCTCTAGCCAAGGAACGGAGTCTTCCCAAGAAGAATTAGAAAGCTTAGAGCCTTGGTCACGCATATTTGATGAAGCCGAGAAACGCCATGACACTCAGCTGAACGCATTGATCAGTGAGTACGAAGGGAACGGAGATTCAGAAAATGTGGCCCGCGTGAAAGCCGAGAACGCTCTTCTTCCTGTTTACAGAAAAGAGCTGAGAAAAGTACTCTTAGAGAATCTACAGTGGATGCGTGCAATGAAAAAGGATCCCACCTTCAAAAAAGTGATGGAAACTCAAAAAGAGCTTAAAGACACAGAAGGATTTGATTGGTTGGAATCGACAGAACTTGCTATCGATAAGCGAAAATTCTTACTCAATCGATTGTACCAAAAGCAGCCCATTCCACAAGATCAAGGCTAGACCTACTATGAATGTTACAGAATTTTTTATTTCCTGGACCTTTGTATTGTTGCATTTCAGTAAAAGCCATAACCAACCACACTTAAAGTGTGTTTTATTGATGACTGGATCATAATAACAATAACAGTAAACTTGTGCGATAAATAACAAATCTGAAATTTGAAATACCAATTACTAAAGGAAGAACAAAACTTTTTAATCAGGCACTGTTATTTGTGATTACACTTAATAAAGATGATGATTCCAATATTGAAAGCTGTTGCGTGACTAGCGACGCGCGACACCCACGCGTGTGTGCAAAAAAAACATGACTGAAAATGGCCCGTTTGTCTCCTTTTGGCCTGGCTTTGGCCTTTCTGGCCTGGTTATGGCCTTTCTGGCCTGTGTTTGGCCTTTCTAATACTCTGTATAACCTGACTATTTGCGAAATAGAAGTCATTTGTGTTCAGCCATCGAACTGTCAACAGTGTTTTGAACATGGTTTACAAGAGAGTTTGCAGAAACTGTCCGATTTCATGGTGCGGGGCGAAGTACCTTGTCAGATTAGCTAACCATCTCGCGGATGTTCATCAGTTAGACCACATACAGCGACCGGACAGTATTTACAAGAGGCGAGACTGCAACCTAAAGTTAAAGTCGTCGTTTACGAAAGTGAAGCGAATAATTCCGGAAAAAATCGCCCAACTAGTACTCGCAGTCCATTACAGACACAAGAAACGGTGTACGAACTGTCAAGATCACGAAGAAAGGAAGCCTCTTTTAAAGCAAAAGCTAAAAGACCGACTACAAAGAACAAGACAAAGCGCAAGAAACAAAGAAAGTCGAACTCTTGGCTTAGAGGCCATAGGAAAATTGTGTAGACACGGAAGGGTTATTTATTATTCCTCGTAATAGAAGGGAGAAAACGGATTTGTAATAGTCAGTCAAAACTAGGATTAATTTTCATTCCGCCCTTTTCCTTGCAAATCGCTGTGTATTTGACTCTTTTTGTTATTGGTTTTTAATAAAGTTTTTAAAACGGTATCTCGTGTCTGATTTTATTGATAGCAATTGTAAGTCACCTGTTTCAATTCATCCTTGTTAAGTTATTTTATGTTTTTATTGTTTTTATGATAATAAGTCACTTGAAGGTACTCTCTTGGGGCTTTTCCTGCACAGCTGAACTAATTTGTATGCAAAGGTGGGCTTGCGAACTCGCATAATTAACTGACTAACGATGTCCAAAAGTGGTCGATGGTGGACAACAACCCATCGCTCTAATCACTTCGCAATGTTCGAGTCTTACATGATTTTACTGCCTACATCATCGCCTTATATTACAGCTCTCAAATTTGATTATTAAAGTACAGTGGGATGAATAACAGCATATAATTGTCCCCATTCTTCCTGCGTGAGTCTGCCCAAATTAACTTTTAGAAATACTTCAGAATGGAGTTCTTTAATTAAGCTTGGAAATTGTTGACCCTGGGAGGTCGCAAAATGTTTTCTTGAGAAACATTATTTCTTTTGAGGGGGGAACTATGACCCTCGCGATCATACGATAATAATTAAGCTTTATTCTTATGAAAGACCGAATAATACCCATTTTCGTTTTGGATGACAATAATAATTAATAATTATTAATAATAACCTTCATTCATATGGTCTTCAAAAGATAAAGATAAATAATGATGTAATAGATTATAGAAAATAGCTGACCATGTCAAAAAACCCTTTCTAATTTAAGCTGATGATGTCATCTCACCAGTTACCATATTAAATGATTATTTTGATAATGATCTCATCGGTTTTTTTGATGACGTCAACTCCCTAGATTGTTACAGACTACCTTTATATTTTTAGATGATGATCTCATCATTTTAATCCCCTGAGCTATTGTGACGTCACTCCACCACCTCCACCACTGCGTAGAACCCCTCGTCTATTACTACTTACTTTCGGGCTAAATACATTGACATTTTGGGCGATAATGACGTTTTGCGATGACGTTTCAAGAATTCATTTTCTTAGTGACATATTTTTGCAGCCGTGAGAGTACCAATTGATCTACTAGTCTAAGGTCAATTTTTAATTTTTTGAAGACAATTCAAAATTGTGTACTCACCCCTTTCCACTGAAATCCACTTTAAACAATCTTTGAAGAAGTTCGTACGTGAGTAGTGTGACACCAAACTGAGGTGACGACCTAAATACACGAGCTAAAAGAGACCGACAAAGGTAACCAAGCCACTCTCAAATCGTACACCTGCAAGTCCATCAGTTTTGGGACCAAATTCTTTCAAATCAAGTCAAATAACAGAACACCTGTACCCTGGGGGGTACCCTGGGGTGCTTACCATTTCCACAAACCACAAAAGTATTAAATTTGATGTGGTGGGAGAAAGACCGGCTATAATGTATATCCAAAGCAGCTGAAAAGACTAAAAAGCTAAAAAGAGTAGAAGAATTGCATCTTCTCAAATCATAGCCCCCTTTTTTCTGAAGCTTTCCAAACGGATTTGCGGGAACCAATTGATTTTCCAAACAGAATTTCTGTTTTTTCAAAGAAAATGGTAGGTAAGTACCCCTGACCGTTGCGTGGTCTATCAATGAAACATGATGGAATTAAATGGAGGATGATCATCGCAGTTGATTCTTCACTCCGCAGTCCACATATATGATTTTTCATATATTCATAACTTCATCATCATCCTTCCACGGGTCTATAACGAACCAATTCAACGACCTGCTCCCAGTTGGCTTGTTAGCTTAATTGTTAGCTGTACCGGTATCGCAGAGGTCAAGGGTTCGATTCCCGTAAAAGCATGAATTTTTTTTAGGCTTTCTTTTCGCAACTGCAAAAGTTGCGTATATAACTGCGACGATCATCCTTCATTGAATTCTTCACTCCGCAGTTCACATATGTGATTTCTCATATATTCATAACTTCACCTGAAACATGATGGATAAGCAATTACGACAAATGACCCATAATCAGATTAATCTGCCAGAGTAGACTAATAATCTGAAATTAGTCGTGGCTGAATGAGGCAACACCAACATATTGGATCTGCTTTAAAAAGGCTTAGGAGTCTGTCGAGTCCTAAAATGGATATCAGTTACAATGGGTGGGACATTTGGTGCGCGAACTAAATCGAGTGTGTTTTTGAAGAAAATCAGCGAGGTCCACCTGAAAAAAGTCAACCTCGAAGTAACAAGTTTCTAGAACTGCTTCTTTGTAAATGTATTTCCGAGAAAAAAAGGGTAAGAACACTGAAGATGAAAAAAGGGACAAATCAAGCAAAACACAAGCATAGACAGACCTCCTGCTCCTTTCCAAAACGCTCTTCCTCCTTCTTCCTTCCACACTTTTCTTACGCAGTCAATTACTCCCCGGTAAGTCTGCTGACCAGCTCTTGCTTTAACCTGCAAGCGCGGGCAAATCACGCTCATAAAAATCAGTACATAATCAGTGAAGATTTGCTTCGGGACACGCAGTTAGAGCGATGAAAATTGGTTTCAGTAAGTGTTTGTTATTTAATTTATTGCCCACGCTAAGTTCTTCTGTTGTTCCAGCTGAAAATGCGCTGCGTGCGTGTTCGCTCAATAACCAAAAGCCAAGCTAACAGAGTATGCTCGCTACACCAAACGAGGTCAACGTCTCCCACTACTCAGTAAAAACCAAACAAAGTCTTGCTTCATTTTTTTTGAGGCGTTGAGTGACTAGCCCTTTCTAGCTTGCACAGACATTAAGTTCTCCTTTGTCGTGTAAAAGGAAAAGATTGCCTAGTTTTTTGTCAAGATTTCCAGTTTATAACAGTAGGTTTCCTCGAGAAAACTGGGCTTTAGACCCACTGTCCACTGAAAAATTGGTTACTTTGATCAAGCCGCAAGGGCCTGGGTCGAGTCCCAAATTCAATCGATACCTAGAAAGCCATTCAAACTCTAACAATTTTCCTCACTTCCGCAGTACTCTTTAAAATTGTCGAGAACAGCGAAATTTGTATTCGTTTTCGAACAGTAGCTATACATATAACAATTATTCACCGAAGTGGAGGTGGCTAGTATTAAATATTTACCGAGGCCGCGAAGCCACCGACACTGAGGTGAATAATTGTTTTAGTACATACTAAAACAGTGAGATAATTGAGCACAAAATGATGATTTTTAACTCATTTACTGTTGCCAACGATTACAATTTTGGCGCGCGATGACCGAACGGCAGCGGTCGTCGCTTTTTCGTAGCGACAAATAAAACTTTTGAAGGCGTTTGTTTAGCTCTTGCGGGGAAGTTTCTTCAAAAGGAGTTGTGAATTCTGTTTGTATTTAACATAATTCTGTAAAAAAGATTATTAAATTTAGTTTTAAGCTTATTTATGAACAAGTCAACTAAATAAAGAAACGCAAGACTTAAGCTTAATTTGCATTTGCAAACAAAAAACTTTTTCACCGGTTTTATCGATAACTATTCAAGTCAAAAAGACAAAGCTTTACCTGTTAAAACTTCCAAACCGAACTTCGTCACCTTCTTCATGTATTTCGGAAATAGCTTGCTTGATTAGTTGTGAAATTTCTTAGTTTGTTACGGCAGCAAACCGGGAAAGCATTTTGCTCGCAACCTACGCGAGTTTGGCGTCGCTCGCTCGGAGGAACTGGAGGTGAATCAGTGAATAGTGCAGGATATTCACTGACTGAGTAGCCAATCAGAGCGCGCGAAAAACACTATCCAGTGTTTTAGTAGATATTAACATAAATTATCTACCATCACAAGACTGAGCCTTGAGTATATTCTGATTTGAGAAGAGAAGCTTGTGTGGATCAGTTTACACCATGTTTTAAGTATGAATTAATCTTATACATCCAACACCAGCATCACTTGTAAAACTACTATCTTATTGTGATCATGATCATTTCAAACAAATGATTTACTTCATAAAAGAATGGAACAGTTATCCCTTGCGTTCAACAAGGCCATGGTGACATTCCTGAAATTTTGGTAGGGCTAGAAATATCAGCTCAAAGCGAAAAAACTATTCCCAATTCGCCATGTTCTAAACGAGTGAAAAACTGGGTACGATATGCGACCACAAAGCTTTTTTTGATTGTTGGGAGGAACAGCATGAAGATCAACAAACATGACGGACTACAACTGCTGTGTTCCACATTGCAATATAAGTAATAGAAATGTAATCTAATAGCGGAGCTCCACGCACGAGAGGAGCCCCACTGCTAAGAAAATTTGGTAATCTATCCATCCGAGAAATTTTGGTTACGACGTCAGCGTTCGCCCGGCGACCGTCCGTACATGTACTACATGTAAACCGATGTCAAATGTCACACTTAAATACTACCTAGGAGTCTACGGGCATATACTATCTATCTTTAACTTTGTATAGAACATCCATGTTATGGTCAATTGACGGCTCTCAAAAAGGGGCATCCAGTGACCAGTGTCAAATGACTGTATCGCGGGCCCAGGTATACAACTCATGGAGGTGACGCACTTTTTTAAAGTTATCAATTGATCGCGGGCTCAGGTCCATATTTAAAAGGTGGAACTCAGTAGGCTTTCTGCTTACAGCAACTCCTAAAGATCCTAATGCACCAGGCATCTATTCTTCAGTAAGAAGAACCTTGAGGGCGTCTTCACGGGTGTGGCTTGCTGCTGTCCGCCATTTTTTTGCTGTCCCTCTAAACGATCCCAAAAGCTTTGGCGGCCATAAGTCGTATCAGACTCCCGCTCGTTTAGATCATAGCCATATTTTTCGCCACGTTCTAAACGAGTGAATGAGCTCTTTTAAGATTTTCACATCTGTCAAGGGTATTAAATTCATAAGATATAACATCTGGTTACCTGTAGTCTTGTCTTGATCACATCAGCTGGTGTGGCCAGTGCGGCTGCCGGAACACCTTACGAAACACATAACAGAAACATTAGAAAAAGTGTGATGAGATCCTCGCCAGCGTGCACAAATGAGAGCGATTCCGTCACACAAGACAGAGATATGCTAAGAGGGGTGGAGAGATTTGCTCCCTGTCAAAATTCGAGTGAACATCTTATCTGACTACCCACCGTCTGGCAATCATTTTACTTCATTTGTTAGGTTCTTCATCGTGTTCGCGCACGAAAATAAGGAAAGCACGCGTAGGTTATGAACTACAAAACACAGATATGGACAGGTTTTGGTTCTTTCTTGTCCAAACGATACTCGGCGAAAGGAATGAGTTGATTTATCAAAAGACAGACCGCTTGAAAATTGCTTTATCTGCCATACCTTGCAGGTTCATAAACGCCTTTGCATTGACTATTTATAAACTGCAAAACTGAGAAATAGATAATTGTATTAACAATTCTTATCACCTGCGGTCATGGCCGAGGCAAAGAGTCCACCAGCGCTCACGTGACCACTCTCGTCTGCGAAATGATCCTTAAGATGTGCGTAGGTAGGAAAATATATACCGGAGAATGGAATGTCACGTAGGAAACACGCTCTTGCACCCTGCCACGTAACAGCAATAAAGAGCAATTCAGTCAAGAAAATACAAAGAGAGCTTGGGGCGGCTATTTTAGCGTTTTTTTCCCTCCAGTCATCTCCAATACTGTCGACATGATACGAGTGGGAAAATACTTTTCACAACTCGTACGAGCGGACAAGTTGTCGCGATTCGACATACAACAAAATTTCTAAGCCCTTAGTGAGATGCATTTGTCAACTCGACAGTTTACTCTGTCGGGTGGTCAAGCACTTTCTCCAGTCGTATGACTCGACTATCATTACATGGGGTCTCTTGTTACCATCACAAGCAACAAAATTTTTTAAGTCCCATTAATAAGATGCATTTCTCGACTCGACTGGACCTTGCAGCTCTCTTCCTGTGAAGAAAGCCAAATAACATATCTTATTGCTATTTTAGGTCGTTTCTATCCTCAAGTCATTACTTAGAGCCTTTACTCCTACACAAAATGTAGAGATATGACTATTTTTACACTTTTTGTTGCTTGTGATGTTAACAAGAGACCCCGTGTAATGGTAGTCGAGTCGTAGGAGTCGTACAAGTGGAGAAAGCGATGGTCCACCCGACAGAGTACATGAAGACTACAAGTTTTCCAAGCAATCCAGTTTTGACTCTTTGAGTCAGCGAGTGATTGAGAGGGGATTACCTTGTAAAGTCCTGCCAGCCCTAACTCTCTGATGACTCGTAAAGCGGTGACCTTTTCTCCAGCCGCTCCAATCTCGCCTGCAACCTGTAGCCTAATCTTGACGATCTCCAGAGGATTGGTGAAGAGAACCTGAGCTGCACCTCCCTGCATGTGATCATATCATAAATATTCATTTAGTTTTTTCTTAACCTCTGCTTTTCATTTCTTTTGTCAGTTTTTTTTCCTTTCGCTTTTTTAAGCCTATGATTAATACGATTATCTAATATATTTTAAGATTTACTGTAGCTCTGCCATTGATTTCTGCATGTATAATTCTGTTCATATTTTGTTGGATTAATTTAACTGAGGGAGCCCATTCCTTATATAAGCCAGGTGGTTTCCCTTGGGCTTCCTCGCCATTAGCTTTATAAATATTTAGATTTCTTCTTTTTGTACATCTTATGGTAAAACAATAAACTGAAATTGTCAAACATGTTACGCCGAGGTGAAGACGGTCATTTCGCTTCAGACAAGCCAAGTGAACAAGGAGAAATTTGCTGACAAATCAAATGGTACAGAGAGTTATTTTCAGCTACCCACCCTGGACGATGGTTGATAAATGTCGTTGAACTTTCATCTGAAAACTGAAATGCCCCTTTCCTAACCCAAAAAACTATAGCCCATGGAACATTGATCAAGCCCAGATAAGACACCATTAATTAATTGCGATTCGGCGTTCACTGCGGAGTAAGCCGTATTTGCATTTAGCTTCCGGCACCTGTAAGTACATGTAGTAAATTAAAAGTAATTTTTAAACTCGCCTTGGGGTACAACATAATCACAGACAAGAGCGTCTTACAAACCCAAGAAACCCAGCAAAAGGTCAGTGCCGTATACCACCAAAAGGGTTTTTTTATATCTTTTCCAACCATAGGATACTTATAAAGTATAGCAAATTTTTGGAATAGAACTTCACTTTTATAATATCCTCAGTCCTTTTCTGTCACCTAAAATGGTACAAGCTCCACAGTACATCAAAACCCTCTCTCCTCACCCCAGATCTCCCTCTTCCATTTAAACTATTACAGCACAATCATATGCGGTCTCAGTTTTTCACCGAAAAAAAAACGTGTTTACTTACACATCCGCCGGCAACTATTTCAAATGGTAAGCTAATAAACCCATCCTTGTCTCGAAACACGTCACGGACAAAATCATTCGTCTGTGGAAAGAAAACACACACAGATAAAAGAAGGAGTCTAAAGAACAGGCTGAGTGGAGACAAAATTGATATTAAAATATTTGTGGGATGTTCGAGCTCAAACGAAGCAAAAAATAAAATAAAATGTGAACTTAACTGATTTGATCAGAGGGTCATTCCTTAACTTTCGGGTGGCATTTATTGTGTCCTTATTTTCGGGAATTGCCAGGAAGATGGAAACTGGCTTAGACCCTATGCAAATTACGATTGCTGCTGTACGGGTTCTTTTACGTTAGACACGAGTTTAACAGTTGACGGTAGGGTTCTGTTGAAGGTTAAACGTTTGAAGTGCATCAACACTTTCAGGGTCTTTTAATAGTCGTTAAAACTTTGGCCTAACCTTCCAAACATTTTCCAGAAGGAAGATCAGTTCATGCTAAACTTAGTGTACAGTTTCTTTTATAAATTTCAGTTTCTTTTATAGGTACTATCCGCTTGACTGAAAGTAGGACGACAATCCCTGTAAACTCACCGTTAATTTTATGGCCTTCTCTGGAGCAACACCAACGAGCTGGGGTAGCAAACCTAGAAAATGAATACAATCAATAGCTCGTAAGAGTCAATTATATTCATGTCACTCATAACTAAGAACATATTACACTACAGGCAACATGAATAAAAGAAACCTTGCACTTTTACCCTCCTGCACGTTGTGAAAATACAACGTTCATGTGATACGACCATTGTGTTCTGGAATTTTTCTGAGGGAGCGAGCCCGCATCGATCATTATGCTTTTCTAGCAGAGGCGTATGAGTCATATGATAAAGACATATACTTTACTTTAATTGTTTATATTTTAATACGAAACAAGAAAAGGTCAAGGAAGAAACACGCTACAGTTTAAGCCCCTATAACCTACTGCGGTCACATGAAGTCTTTTAGTTTTAAACAAATTAAAATGATTGATAATCAAAACCATCAGCTTGAGGAGTAGTGAAACTACACTTTTGTACAGGAGAAATGAGAGATGATGTTCATCTCGTCTGTGGGTGCGAACAAACGCTCCACATTGATACTCTACGCACTATTATTTAGAGGTTTGGGCGACCACGAAGACGACAGGGACCGGAAAACAATAATAGAACAATAAGTTTAAATAAGCAAAACAACAACTCTGCACATACAGCACACTCTTTTTACTTTATTTTATTATAATATTTTTTTGGCCAACACTTCACGATTACCGCTTAAAATTGCCTTATTTCACGTTTAGTGAAAGGCGTAAACGAAATAACGACAAATTTTTCTTCCTTTCATTTTTTTTGAATGCGGTCTCTAATAATCGCGATGAAGTGTGAAGAACGCAAATACATTTTATTACTGACGTTTCCGCTGCTGTCGTCGTGGTCGTAGTTGTATTAACTCCCTACTGTTAGGGCAGAGAACGGTAAGAACTGGCAGAGTAGCTAAACAAGGCATAGCTATCAGCTATAAATAAAACTTGCACTGAGTAACATTCGCCACATTAAAACTGTTCATGCTATTACTAATGTACGTTGCACTGAGTAACATTTGCCACATTAGATTCGAGGATGGAACTGGAGCCGAAACGTGTCCCGCAATTGCTTCTGGGATGGTTACTTGTGACGCGCCGATCAGCTATTGGACAATTTTTTCCTTCTACCTGGTAACAGTCCCAGAAGTCTTTCCAAAAGTTAACTTATCTCAGGTGGCCCGTTCCGAAATCAAATGTTCAAATCAAATCGAAAGAAAGAGAGAGAGGGTACTCGCTAACAGACCAGGCTATTTTGTTTTCAAAACTGATAGTCTTTCAAAACTATTGAAACCTCTCTCTAGAAAGTAAACAACAACAGCTTTCTAGAACCGTTTATTATCGGCGCCTCCTCGTTTTAAAGTGACCAATTCACGTACTCTTCAATAGATTGTTTTGTTTTTCTTTTCTTGAACCTCTCGTTGCAAAATGTAAGTAAAGCTTTCATCAAAGTGGAAACTGCCTAACAGCATCGTTGACGAATTATGTTGCAAGTAAGATTTACTTCGCTAAAGACGAATTGCCAGCTCTCTAAACATCACCATTTCGATCTTTTAAACATGGTAATTTTAAAATTGGAATGAAAAAACATTCAACCAAACAAACTTTTTGTATCTCGTGTAATGGCCATGGCACGTTGAACTCACTCACCTCTGTACAATCCTCGTGGACCTTCATTTCTGATGACTTTAAAGAAGCAGTCAAAGCTGTTGGCATAGACTCTCTCATGTTCAAGCACAGCTCGCTGGTTCTGCATTCTCGTCTTTACCAAGTCAATAGGGTAGACTGCAGTTGCACCCGCGGCTAAAAAGGAAATTCAATAATTTTAAAATTAATTTAAGTGCAATCCACCGAACAGAAGCTGCTCATCGTATCGTTTGTGCAATTTTTCGCTGGCAGCTTCGCCTTCAAAATTATCCCGAACTCACACAAAGCGGGCCTGCTCGCCGGCTAAAATCATAGGAATAGAGTGAGGTCTTGGGTGGAAAATGCACTTCCTGTCAACCAAGTGAACGAATAAATATACAATAATTTTGGGATAAGCGAAAGTTGGTAGTCAGTACGTTTATGACCTTTGGCCTTTTTAGTCCGTTCTGTTTCCATTAAATTCACTTAATGCAAATGCTTTACTCTGAAATCCTCTAAAGCTTCTGAACTCCCGCAGGATCAACATCTTACTGTCTTAACTTCACGCACATGACGTAGCACAAACAATGAAACCTTAAAACAGTGGAAAGAGTATAATACACCTTACATGAAGTATATGTAACTATAGGCTGGATTACATTTCACTTACCTCCAGCTACGGCTCCTATTCCAAACCGATAAACCTGTTCTAATGCTTTCCAAAGTATTGATTGATCGCTTTCCACCACGGTCTCCGTTAACATCTAAAGTCAATAATATACAGACAATACAAGTAAGTTAGCTAGGGAGGTTTGGGTGAGTGAAATGTGCAAATTTATTTGTCAATTTGTCTATGTGCTAAAGAACGACCAAGATCTACATGCAGTGTATATCACTACTAGAAATACGTTATCGCAAAAATCTCGCGAAGCTAAAAGGGCCAGCAGTGAGAATAAACGGAAACAAGCCAAAGGGTAAAAATACGATGAAAGCAAAAAAACGAAACACACAAGTAGTGGTAGAGGATCATTTTACGCCCGTCTGGTGCCTAGTCAGTGCCTAATCCTGCATACTAATTGTCTAGTCACTGTCTTCCTGCATACTAATTATGTGCTCAGTCAGTTTCTAGCTAGCTACAAGTAGGTAGACATTGGTTCTTCCATACTAATAAATGGGTTCCTCCATAGCTAATGAGCGTCTCTCTACTACAATAGGAACAATAAGATTACCTAGACCTGCCTGTTAAGTAACTTGCGCCCGGTTTAAACGTCTATTTTAAAAAAGGGATAAGGGGAACGCGAGAAAACGGCTTATGTCTTCTTATTTAGCGCAAACGTACATGTGTAACGTACATGTACAGCACTGTGTAACAGTTAATAAAAACGCTTAGCTGTTTTTTTACGAGGAGCTGCAACATACTTCTTTTTACTGACGAAACTGACTTGATAAATTTATAACGACTTTGCCGAGCTGGTGAAAGATCACACGAGAAGCCCAAAATGAAAATTTTGCATCAACCGAGTAAATCCCTTCAACTACTGTTTAGCGGAAAAAAAGTTCCTGCAGATGTGGACTGCAAAAACCTCCTACCTCTTCCTCAATTCTTTCTGTAGAAAACACCTTGAAGACATCCCGATGGGGAATAATCTGATGTACATCAGACACTGTAACCCGCCTAGACACAGATGACATTAAATTGCATTTATTGTCTAATGCTACCATTATAATATCACCTATTCCAGTTACATTCAAAACAGAGTTTTTTATTTTGTGCATTATGTCAACTACATACAACTTTCTGCACTCATCTAAATGTACTTCATGTATTAAACCTTAACAAGACAACTTTGATGGTTTTTACAGCTGTATGACCCTCCTTAGTGCAAAAATTATGCCCATGTGTTCAACCACAGTGCCCTTGGAATAAAAAACGTGATCACCTAATTACAGTCGATTGCTTACAAAAATAAGTTATACTGTTATGTCTGCCACTATAAAATATTTCGAGAGGACTATAAGCATCTAGCCGTGCACCCTTGATCAACGGCCACTTTGATATTACCCTGTTAACTAAAATTCTCGATAAAAGTCGCTGACGGGCGGCTCGTGTAGCGAGTAATCAGCTGTTGTTATGACGACTACATGTATGTTTCTTAATTCCTCAGGGTGTTTCCCAATGAAAGTTACTTAATTCATTTGTATATGCATGATCATAGCCTGAGAAAACAGCCGGCATTTGGCGACGCTACCACTGGTTTCCCCGCCAAATGACGTCTGAGAAACGAGCGCAGAAATTCCATATTGATGACGCGTCACTACCCAGGATCTGGGTAGTGCTTCTGATTGGTCGTGCCGCGTAGAAAATTTGATTCACCAATCGGAAGCACTATCCAGATCTGAGTAGTGACGCGTCATCAATATGGAATTTCTGCGCTCGCTTCTCAGACGTCATTTGGCGGGGAAACCAATGGTAGCGTCGCCAAATGTTGGCTGTTTTCTCAGGCTAGCATGGTCAATGTTAAGACAGAATCTCGGAATCGGCGAGGTTCCTTTCCTAAGAGTTCAAAAAGGATTCACATTGAATCTGCTACAGAATATTATTTCAAGGTGTGTACCTACCCTCTTCTGTGTTCCAAGTCACACAAATGGAAAAGAATGTCAATAACTAGAGGAGTAATCTGTGAAAACACATGTAAGAGTAAAAGACTTCCCATGTATGCAGTTTTTCTCTTTAATAACCTAATGTTTAAAACAACTCTTAAGGTATCTGACCTCAGGGTGGCTTTGTCAATATTATATGCAGCTGTAGCCCTAAAAGTTTATATGTATGTCCTTATTTTCTTTTCAACTAACACCTCGCTGTTCCAACTTTTCAAACAATCACTCCATTTATTATGATAACCAAATACAGTCAATAAATTGTACGCTTTGTTGAAAAGCAGCGTGTTCTTTGACTGTTTCCATCGGACACCGACACGTGTGGATGGCAGGCCAGGTGAAGGAAAAAATTAATTCCTTTTCCATTTGAAATGAATTCAAATCCAAAATACTCCTCAATAAATTCATGCTACTGGTTTTACCAATTATTTTTAAAACAATAATGAAACGACATGATTAGCCATTGATTCGGAGTGTTAGAATTCAGTTGCAGGGGGGGATTCCATTTTCAAAGTGTTAATGTACATGTTAAAACAAGTATTCTGTTTTCCCTTATAGGAGAAAAGCACAACAGAAAATGATTACAAACCTCTGAATCAGCCTTGGATTCATTTAAAAGATCCACTGAAATGAAAACATTAGTATTCTAATTAGTAGTTTCTTTAGCTGATGGAGCTGTCTAGTTTGCACTTATCATCATAACAGACACAGCTGTATTTTTTAACTCCAAAGTCGGGAGGTGCAGAAAGGAAACAAAGTTCTCTAACTTCAGCTGTACAGTGGAATCCCCACACATAACAGTGCCAAAAAAACAGAGGAAAAACACCGATAAAATTAGAGCATTATTATTAACACAGTCGAACCTCCTATAAACGATCACCGAAAATGCAAAGACTTAGTGGTTGCTTACAAGAATTGATCCACAGGGGGCCTCTTCCTAGAAGAGGTCCGAGCACATCTACTTTATGGAAGATAATTTATTGCATACAATTTCTAAGTTATGCCATGTGTAGTTCCGTGTTGTTTCTAAAGCTCCTCATGTATTCTAAGTAGCATAGTGCACAGTGAACATTGAGATCAGAGAATCCGTCAAGTAGTTGCTTACAACAGGTTAAAACCAGTAGAGAATCATTCAACATTCAGGCCCAAAAAGTGGCTGCAGACACTTACAGGAGGAGGTCGTTTACAAGAGGTTTCAACTGTGAAGCTTTGACTGGGAAAGTTTTGGTGTTTTGAATTGGCGGGCACTTATGGGAGGTGGTCGCACATGGAGGTTCAACTGTATAAGATTATTACTTAACAGTTGTAAATCCTTGGTTCAAATTACCGGTAATATGCAGAATTTGCACACTAAGACAGTTTAAACTGTACATTGTACATACACTGTAAACAGTTTTTCAACACTTTTTTTGCCTGTTAAACACCATAGTCCTGATTATTTAAACGTCCAAACAATTTCAACCAATTTTCCTTTTCCTCAGTAAATTATTGTTGGCTCTCAAATCATTTTGAGAACCACATTAATACACTTACATGTCGTGCACATGACTGTTGTGATATTGTTTAAACTTTATTTTCCTTTTTTTGAAACTCACTTTCCACACATAACTGTACCAACAAAAAGAGGAAAAATAAACTTTGAGCCAGTGACAGTAATTAATAACTACATCCTTGGCTCAGAGTAGTGCACCAAATTTTCACACTGATATCATTTCAATTCCAAAATTATTTTGCAATTAATTCAAGAATAACAACAGGAAAATGGGAAAAAAGAAATACATGAAAAACCAAACAACTTTCTACAGTGTATGGGCAATAAATAATATAACATACAGCTGTATGCATGTACATGTATGGGTCTCTAAGTAATGTGACTGTATACCTTTCCTGAGTTCTTTGAAGCGATTTCCCTTTGCAGCTGAGACTGCCATATTGTAAAGGACTTGTACATGATCTAACATGGTATTGAAGGCTCTGTAATACCCATAACTCACACGATGACCACCCTCTCCACTACCAGCCTATTGATGAAACAAAAGAACACCCTTAGCGCACATATTTGTGACAAGTATGTTGGTTGAAGCATAAATTATTTCTCCCAAGTAACCAAACACTATACATCATCATCATACATCTTATGCCACTGAGAATGTACAGGTAGTATCAAAATCAAAATTACAAAAATACATATACTGTTACAGAAGAAGTTCCTTACTTTAATAAGAATACTACTGAACAGTACACTTACACATCCTGTACGTATCAGGGCTCGAAATTGCGACTGATACGGTCGCCAATGCGACTAATATTTTCTCCTTGGCGACTAAAAATTCTAGTTTAGTTGCCACACTGGCGACTAGATTTCTCTACGATTTAGATTTAAATTAAAAGAGTAAAGTTAAAACAAACATTTCATCTTATCTTGCTTTGCTTTCATCATAAAAAAATGTGCCAAATCGCATAAACAGAGCCAGTTTACCACCAAGTTTATACCGACTTCTATCCACGATATTTTCAAATCTGATGGATCGCATCATACTATGCAGGGCTTCTGATAGGTCGTAGAAAAAAAGTCAAATTTCGCGGGATTTTTAGGGGCAGATTCGCGGAAAAATCGACCGATTTCGCAGGATTTGGGGCAAACTTAGCCGAAAATCAATCGGTCAAAAAAGGCTGATTATGTGGTTATTTTCAGGGAAAACTTCGTCAGAGATCGATCGGTTTGGCGCTGACCAGACCAGCGTTTTTAATGTTTTTCTAACAGAGGTCATCATTTGCTCTTTCAACAACAATACGCTCCGGCACTGAACCAATGGCAAAGCCTTTAACATCATGGCTAGTGCCCAGTTTTTCGCAACATAATCTACACCCAGTAGTTTCGGAGTTTCGGGACGTTGTTTGCACGTTTAAGTGACGAAGTTTCAAGATAAATTTACACGTTTACGGGCAAGTTAATAGCCCCAATAGCTGAGAAAAGTTTCAAATATGTTGTACAGACATGTATTTGATAAGATTTCTACCGGATTTCGCGGTATTTTGCATGTTTTGACGTCGCGAAAAATCAGAAGCCCTGACTATGAGCTGCGTCATATATACAAACTGGCGACTAAAAATTTACATCTGGCGACCATATTTCTCCAGTTGGTCGCCAAAAGGCGACCTGAGGACTTTTTTAATTTCGAGCCCTGTGTATGTGCTAATATTTTAAGAGCCTCAAAAATGAGATAACAAAATACATGTAATGTTCACCATATCACTCTGTATGTTTGAAACTAGTTATTTCGATAAATGCTAAACCTGTGCACATTATAAAATGTTTTGCACACTATGTGTAAGTTAAACATGACTGCAAAGAAATAATATTTTAAAAACAGCTTTTCATGATTTGTTTTGGCTCAATTTAGTGGTTAGTTTTACTATGCATTTTATACTTACATTAATTTTGTTAAATACATTTCAGAATATTCAAATATGCAACAAGAGAAATGGTGGCACAAAATGATTTACAATAATAATTATTGCACTTGAACAATCATACAATAAGGTCATAAGCATTTTTCTCCAAAACAGCTGTTTAATTAGATCACTCCTGAAAAATCTATTACTGTCCTAATCATAACTATCACAAAATTGTCAAATCTGATTGGCTATCAACTGCCCTGATATCAGCCTTAATTGAACAGTTTAATAGGACAGTACGCGTCATGCCTAAATAATTGGACAGTATGAGCCATCACGCGCGCTCAAATGGCTTTTTTTTTCACTGTTAGCATAACTAAATTTCGCATTTCTTGTGTTTTGATTTTAAAAATAGCCTATTACATCACAAATTTTGTTAAAGTTATGATTAATTGGTAACAGAACTTCGTGTCGTCTAATTCAGTCTGTAATCAAACCCGTGATTAAACAAATGTTAATCACTCGCATGATTACAGACCGAATTGGACTCCACTCAGTCCTGTAACCATTACTTACAGTTAGAAGATAATTCCTGACAAAAGGAGACAGTTTATGTCCTCTAAGGGTTTTCATGATTTCTGCAAACTTGACAGCTGTTATCTCTCCATCAGCCACTTTGCTTTGGAAGAAAGCTTGCCGCTGATATTCTTTCTCTAAATCCTGTAAACAACAAGAATCAACAAAGATTTTAACATTTGGGGGAACAAATGGTCAATATTGTTAATGATACAGGCTTTATACAGAGTGTGGCCTTATGCTCTGTAAACAATAAATCTATTCAGCCCTTAATTTCTCACGTCGCTAACCATAGCCAAAATAGCAGGATAACAATCATTAATAAAGCAGATCATGTGTAGCAAGGACTACTACAATAGTGTAGCTCTGCCTACAGAACATCTTATACAATGGTTGACTTATAACTGAAAGAAGCATGGGCGAATTTTCAGTGAAACGTTGTATCACAATATTATTGAACTACTCTCCAAAGGCCACCTTGGGATCAGAAGACTGTTGTAGAAAGGAGGCCATTGTGTAGAGGTGGCCATTGGTGGAGGTTCAGCTGTCTTTAAATTTAAAGAATTATCTTTAAAATAAATACCATCTATATAGCTGCAAAATGACCTAGCCACCCATTCCTCAAAATTTTTCTGGATACACCCATGGGCAGGACTGAATAAATTATTATTAAAGACAATTGAATGTACGAGTATTGACTTTAATATTATGAATGCTTCTGAGGCACTCTTCTAAATAGATGACTAAAATTTGCCATGCACAAAAAAGGGAGTCGAATGTCCTAAACAGAATAAAATATTGACATGGCACATAAACATACAGAATTATTTCTGTTAAATTCCTCAGTTTTCTTAAAAATTCCTTCGCAGCATTTCTATATAATAATAATAATAATAATAATAATAATTTAATTATCCTGTCCCCTTACGGCGCTTTTCAGGGATCACAAAACAAATAACATAAATATAAAAGGGTTAAAGATCCCAAATGGTAGGAGGCAAACCATTGGCTATTTAAAGGGTGCCTGGGAAATTCAACTCGGGACTACCAAGAACAAATCCAGCTAGTGGTCAGGGTGGGACTTGACCTCAGGGCCTATAAATTATAAGGCTAGTGCTCCAACTGCTTGGCCACACTGCCTCTGTCATCCATCATATGGATGGCGCTTACAGGTATGGGTGGCGCAGTCGTGAGAACACTCGCCTCCCACCAATGTGACTCCGGTGCAAATCCCAGCATCGACATCATATGTTGGTTCTCTCCCTGCTCCGAGAGGTTTTTTCTGGGTACTCCGGTTTTCCCTTCTCCTTAAAAACCAACACTTTCACATTCCAGTTTGATCTGGAACGCACCGACGCCTTTCAACAAGTTCTTATGACCTCCTTAGTGCTCCGTGGGTAAACAAATTACAACTTACAATTTTACAATACGTACTGTACAATAAATTGTACTCATTCAAAAATAAGAGCAGCTGGGATAATTGCTATACATGTACATGTAAAAGTCATTTTCTGATTGAGTACTTAAAGACAGCCATCAACATAATCTAAATGACTAACAAAAATAATCAGACACAGCGTGCAAAGAAAGTCACGTCCAATACCCCAGGGCTTGTGGAATTTGCTATCGGGCTACTACTGATCTTTGTTCTTAACTTGCCTGACGGCAAGTGCTGTTTTTTGGGGAAATTCAAATTACAGAAGGATTGTAATCAATCCTGCTGATCAAAAAGGGTTTGGGGGCTAATGGAAATGACTTGTGGGCCAGTACATGCTAGTGACAGCTTGCCTGAATGGCAGGCAGTAAAACTGACTTTCTTTGCACCCTGATACATAATTTAATATTATTTTTTATATTACTATACTGCTGACAGTGGGTATAATAAAAATGCTACAAACCTGTAGCAAATGAGAGAAGTCATCAAAACGGACATGTGCCTTCTTCTCTTTCCCAAAATATGTCTTAACAAACTCAGTGTCAAAGTCAAAAATTATTTTGTTGAAGAAAGTTGTTTTTTTGATGACATTCTCAAACTCATCTGAAAACACAAAAAAAAACACAACAATGACCAAAACCTTCTTGCAAAGAACACTAAATAAAACTGACATCCTCCCAGCTAAAATTCTTCACCCGGTTAATCAAAGTGCACTGAAATGTACTTTTCCCGGCCCTCAAAATTAAATGTTAATATTATTTTTCTGACAAAACGGGGAAGCTCTTTCTTACCTAAAAACACCTTAATGCAGCTGCACCACATTAGAGGCATTAAGTACCTTTTGATCCTATTTATTGCTGGCTACTTACTTTTCCTCTTCTACACTGTACATGTACCTAATTCAAATTTTCAGGAGTATTTCAAGTATTTTGTCACTAGAAGCCATAAATCTATGCCCCTTTTCACATGACATCACGTCTGCCATTTTGGTGTCCAACACCAATCCCGTGGGAGTTGAACTCTTTTCTTATTTAAACATTTTCTCTTCTTGGCAACATGAGAGAAAACACTCTATAGCAGTGTTCTCACCAGGCTGCGGCCTTGCGGGATTCCCGCAAGAAAAACCGAAATGGCGCATTAAAACCAAGAAGATGCGCCCGTTAGGGCGCAGGGGCAAGCTACGAGTCAAACGGACTTAAGTAGTTTTAATGGTCAACCTAACACTAAAGCATTCTGTTTGTTTGAATAAAGAAAAAACACGATATCAAAATGAGTCAAAGTCTTTAATTTTGTTGCCTTTACTTTCATTGGTCCCACGCACGTCCCACTACATCGTAAACTCCTCCTCCAAATCGTAAACACCTCTTCCGCCATATTGGATCAGGTAGGTACTTTATGTAACAGACAATTTGGAGTGCGGGCTCAGGTTCTTCGTACCGCGTGTTTTTTGTAACTTTGTCCCCCTAATGTTCTTACAGGGCCCCTATTTCTCAGAAGAGGGGGCCCTGGGACTCCCCAAGGCAAAATCCTGGTGAGAACACTGCTATAGTGGTGAAGCGCAAAATAGAGAGCAGAGCAAAGCAAATCAAAACAAAAACATACACTCAGAATCAACAGAATCTAATGGGAACTCATACCAAATGTGACTGATCCTTTGCCATCTAAGTCAAACAGTTGAAAGACAATCTTGTGCTGAGCACTGGGATCACACAGTAAAGCCTCAAATGCTAAGAATTCACTGAAGGATATCAACCTACAAAGGAGAGGAAGACAAAGGTCAAACTCCTTGGAAAAACTGTTACAGTTCCATTGTACACAATGTACATGTGTGAGAGAGAGCGCTAATTTTCATGTTCCATTGCAAAAATTATACACAACAACATAACCAGAGGCAGAAGATATTATCCTTGAATAATGCTAATATTAAATAAATCATTAAGAAAGTTTTTTTTGGTTAGCGGGAGCATGTAGGAAATTAAATGTAGGTATTTCCATTATCTTCAAAGTCTCATATCAATAACAAGTCCTCAAATCTCCAGGATAAATTTATGATCAAACCTTTGTTAGACAACTCCTGTGGTCTTATTAAATGCGGGTACAGGGTGATGGTTAGGGATCAGGGAGGGGGGTTACTCTTAGTTACTATATGAGTCTACACATAAATAAGTTCTATACAGTAAGTGAACATCAAGCATACCCATCTTTTGTTTGATCAACACATCCAGCCAGAAGACCCAAAGTTGTTTCATTATAATCATCAACCTTTTGCATGCCAAGGTAGTCTCGGATGAGATTCACAGGGGTCATGAACTTTTCACCCTCTTGTTCGACTGTTGCATACTGCAAGAGACAGAAAGAGAGTGAGGTCCTGCTTGCAGAAAATTGGTTATCTTTATCCTAAACTAATGCTTCTTTCCTCTGGTGTAAAGCTTGTTATGTTTTTGTGCTTTAAACTTACAGAGAATGCAAGTGTAAGCAGAGACAACTAACACAATGCTACATGACAGTGGTACATGTAGCACTCCTGCTTGCAGTATGATGCAAAGTAGTTCAAAACTCGAACAAATTGGTACTTTTATAACTTACTTAGAATGGAGATGGTGTGAACTGTGGAAATTCAAATTAACATGAAGATATGATTGTCGCAGTGGTATTTGAAATTCAAGCAACTGCAAATTAACCCAAAAATATTTCAGGACCTCCATGGCATTCCAACTTGTATGGGTCTTCATAGCTCAGTTTGTAGAGTACTGTAGCACTAACCAAGAGGCCATGGGTTCAAATCCCATTAAAGTCCGGAAATTTTATTTGTGTTAATTTGAATTGCTTAAGTTGCAATTACCACTGTGATGAACGTATCTTCATTTAAAATCTACAACTTACTCTTATGAATGTCTGTATCATACATGTTACAAGAAAAGCTTGTCACCATGAGTAACTGGCTCTTTATACATTTCAAACACAGAAAATACAGAAGCAATGCAGTGAGCAAACATTTGGGAATCACTAGAATTAAAACAACATTTGACATCTAAAATAGCACCAAAAAGCAGCTGGAATGCTGATTATTATTTCAGCATCAGGAAATTCCCAAATCAGCACAGATTCCACTGCTTCCCAATCATGCCAGATTTTGCTGATATGCTGAAATATCTGAGAGGCCTCAGAGCATGTAAAAGTTGTTTGTTTTTTTGTTTATTTCAGAGGGAACAGGGACTGGAATAAACATGAGATTGGTACCAAGCCACATTTTTCCAATTAACTTGCATGATTTTACTCTTTCGTTCACCGCACGTGGTTCTGAGGAAAGAAGGACGACCCCTCCAGGTCTAAAGCAAAAACTATTGCCAACCATGTCAATTGCTGACACCCTAGGGAATGATCACTGATCTTTCAGAAATCTGGCACATGGATATGATGAAAAAAGGAGCAATTCCCAATTTTTCCAGTTTGTCTGCAACCATCTTAGATGATCCCAATGTCTACGATTCTGTGCATTCACTCGTCAGCAGTACCTGGAAAAGTTGGGACCGGATCATCTGCGACCATCATGATATTGTGACAATCTGGTCGTATTAATCATTTTTATGATGCAAGGGTTGGAAGGAATGAGGACTCGATAATGTTTGGAAAATATATCATGAACAATATAGCCAAGACTATAGCTGAGGCAACCTACATGTAGTTGGTTACTTTACAAGTAAGACCGAGAAGTTGCACCTGGGACTACTGCAAACAAATTCAGGAAGTAGTTAAGGCAGGGACTGAGCTCGGGACCCCTGGATTGCAATAAAGCATCATCTGCAGGCACCCTAGATTTCAAAGGTTCAGAGCACTGAGCTCCCTTCAATTCTCCTTAAATCACAGCGTTGGGGTTAAAAGAGGGTTGTTAATAGGGTGCTCTATGTACGTAAATGTAGACATTAGTGCTCTAGTAAATCGAAAAATTTACAGGCTCATTGACTTCAATCATAGCTTCATAGCTAACACTTCCTAGTTTTATGTAGTTTAACCATGCATGAGTTTTAATTAGGAACCAATGAAGTTTGTCCTGTTGTCTAAACTAAAAGATCTTGATCTTTAAAGCGAGTTTGCTTCAATCAAGGATTTTGTACCACAAAATTACGACCTTTAAGCGATACGTTCAAGGTCAACTATAAAGACAGAAACAGACAAGTACTGCCGTAGTTTAAGCTACCCATATTCTGTGGTTAATATGAACTTGCAGAAGTCAGATTAGTGCAGGTACGTGGTTTACTAGCATTGTACATTGTATTAATCCCGGGAGTAATCTTTCCTCAGCATTTCATGTAAAGATTTTGACAGATTATGGTTTGCAAAATTGCCTGTTTTATACTTCCCCCACTTCCAAGAAACGGCTAATTATTGATATTTATGGCGTATTAGGGGCGAAACTAAAACAATCTTGATTATACAAAGGCATCGTTTTTATACAATACGTTCTCGTTAATCTTCGATAACAACCTTTTCTTGATTGACCTTTTCCCCAGCTTACCTTGTTAAAGATTTTTCTCAGCTCATTTGGATCGGCCGGCTTCAAATACTGTGGAGAAAGCAAAATATACAATCCAGTGATTATCCAATGATGAACGGGTCACATTCGACCGCTACAGCGGTTACAACACGGTGATTCTAAGGCTTACATGACCATGAAGCGATTCGCATTGTGCTTTGGGAAAGAGAGACCAAAACCACAGCTTTTTCCTCGAAGCCTGTTCCATCATAAAGACCTACAACCAATGTTCAAAACCCGGTACCCGACATGAGGAAAGAGGGGCTCCGCTTCACTTCGATCACGGGGGAGGGCTCAGTTCCAATTTTGCCGCCACACATGTGTTTACAACTTCCATATATGGTATGGGTATCCTAATTTGGGAGAAAACATGTGTAATACACATGCATGGTGGGGCGGAAGTGTTGACCATCTTTGGCGGAAGACAACAATGACCTCAGCCAGGCTTTGGCGTCCAGCGGTTTAGTGAAAACAAGGGTTTGGGTGGGGTGCTCAGTCTCGCGGGCTCATAAAACTTGGTGTATCAGGCCTTCCTAGGGATAGGGGTGGGGAAGAACAAAATAGATGGTCTGTAGACATCGTAAGAGCAACTGAAACTTGCTTTTCCCAGCAAAAGCAAATTACCTTTGGCTGAACGTCGATTATCCTGTCATCATCATGTCAACGACACATCACGCTCGTGTCAGGCAAGTAGGAGTGTTTGTCCCTGGACGCGCTAACCGCGACACTTACTATTGTCATTTGCATAAAAAAATAACATGAGTTGTGACTTGGGATGCAGTCATACCTTAAGCTTGTGTTGACCAATAGAGAGCATGCTTGACGACTGTTTAGCACAGTTTTCAAGTAAATAAGTACTCAAAGAAGAGCAGCACCAGGCTGTTATGGGTATACGGGGACAAAAGGATGTTGTGGCGGTTCTTCGGGTTTTGGGAAAATTTAAATTTACCAGTTGTTCGCGCAGTGAATTAGTTGCACGAAGGGTTATCAACGATCAAGTTGAAGCAATGAGAGAAGCTGATATTTCAGGCATTGCATTGGAACCATGAGGTGATGAGGAAATTCTTGACATTCTTTCGAAAGCTATCATAGTTATTTCTCGGGCTCCACGCTCGCCGATGTTTCCGAAAGAACGAAAAAGAAAAAGAAAACAACGTCTGGGTACAGGCTAGTTAACGAGAGAAATGCTTCATAAGAAAATGCTTTTCAACAGAGCAAAAAGAATTAATTAAAATGCTCCGTGAGAGAAATGAAGAAGATATCACTTTAAGAACATTTTATAAAAGCCTGGGACCAAGTAGACTGCGAGCAGTCTCTCTTTTTCTTCAAATTTGGTGAGAGCAGTGCACGCGCGCGCGCGGGAGCGGCCAAGCCGCGAGCAGTGCGATTTGAGGGCGGCCTCTCCCGTCCGCGCCTTCAGTCACGCGCGTGGTCATTTGCGTGTCTCGCCTGTTTTGCTCGACGGACTAAGCAAAAAGAGAGGCTGCTCGTAGTCTAGGGACCAAGCAGGCTCTGCAGTGGGGGAAACGGCAAAAAACGGAGTCAAATAGGAAGACTACCCCTCAGCTCGCTTCGTTCGCCGATTTTTTTTCGCCTTTTCCCCAAATGAGGAGCCTGGGGCCCGTTTCTCGAAAGTCCCGATAATTAACGGGCCCGGTAAGCGGTCTCCGTTTGCATTAAAGATCGAAATTTCAATAGTTTTGCATCTAACACGATAAAACTGTCAGTTAATGAAACAAAATGGAGTAGTTTGCTAGCCAGGACCCGCGCTCTTATTCTTTATATTTCGATTTGAATATTTGATTTCGGGCCCGTAAAGTTACCGGGACTTTCGAGAAACGGGCCCCTGGTCCCAGGCTACTTTTAAAAGACAAAACAAGAAAAAACACAGCAATACAAGAAAAACTACAGCTACGTACAAGTTATTGGACGAGACAATGGACGAGCACTATAATATTACATTTTAACAGATAGACTTGGACACTGTTGGACGAACGTGGGTCTTCACAAACACAGGAAACAGCTAATGCGGACTTAAAATAATTAAAAATAACCGATTTAAAGGAAGCTAAGGTCGATGAGCTCAAATCTACTTCATCCGCTAAACAATTTCCCCAAATTCTACTAGTTCTAATGAGAAAGGATTTCTGGTACGTGGTAGTTTTACATTTCTTAATTATGTATTTATTAACCATGATTGCTGGTTGAGGATCTAGTGCCTCTACCGTATTTTCGAGATTCAATCCATGTCCTTCGTTGCAAACTGTATCAACAGGGAATCCGAATCCCAATGCCTCAATATAGTTTAAAATAATTAAACTAAACATTTTTTTTGGGATTCAGTTGGTAAAAAGCCTTAGCTCCTATAAAAAGATAGCATGATCGTGACATAGCGGCCCGTTTGAGAGCTTCTACCCTGAAATACAGAGAAAAAATCGTAAAAAGTTTTAATCTTTTGGCAAATGCTCCTCATTAGTGTCATAAGAAATTTATAAGTAGAAAATATATAGAATGTACAGTGTGGAAGAGTATGGCTATGCGGTAAGCTGTCTGTTTCAAGTCTGTTTAAGCCGCATGCCCTAGATCTCAGCAGTAAAGATAGTAAAGGTTTCTGCTTTACAGAGTTTCTGCTTTACAGAGAGTCAGTGTAGAGACAAAAGTTGTCTTTGTATGAAATGCGTGGACTAACGCTTCTAAAGCGAAAGCTTAAGTCCAGCCCTATCACCCGACCGGCATCACTTCTTTAAAACTCTTAGCTCAAGTCATTCTGTGAAGTGTTGTTTAGCTGAAGTACAATCTGTTGATTGCACTAAAGTGTAATGTCTTATCTTTGAGGAGCATTTTAAACCATAATTGTGTTCAGATTGAAAGAGAGTGTACAACAAAGAGTAGGAGCGATCCTTGGCTGGAACTTTAATTGATAACTGGGCTACAACTTCTTCGATCAATTTGCATACTAAACGTTAGTTAAATAAATCATTTATGTGTGACATTTTGTAAAGAAATAAAATATGTTATATTTACAACATTACAGTGTACTATGTGGAGACTAAAAGACATGCTATACCAACGGTAGCGAGGGAAGACCTAATCTACAAATGCTATCAAGCCGCCAAAAACCGAGGATTTCACGGTTTGCTCCGGCTTCAGAACGGCGGATGGTGTGCATCAAGTTCTACAGCTGACTATGGTCGGCCATTCGTTTCAAAAATATGGCACGATATACCTGCGGTTTTATCCCACGTATACTTGCAATCATTCCTCCTACACGATATACGTGCGTTTTTTTGCCACGTATACTTGCGTTCTTTCCTGCTTTGTGGGGTTTTTATTCCCAAGTATATGACGATTTTCTTACAAACGCGCATATATATGCGCGCAAAAAAGCCAATATATATGCGTTTTACAAACAAGCATGTGTATGTCGGGTCACAGAAAGTCGTAGTATAAGAGGCACCGAATTAGACCGTCAGCAAAAAACTCCTTCATGTATGAAGGAGCTGAAAAGTAACTTCAGTCTGAATCAAGCATGGCCGCTTTCTAGCAAGGTTTGGTTCTTATTCATGGCCCTCACAGCAGTGGTGGTTGTTCGCTCCCCGACAACGGATTTGTTGGAATCCGTGGATTGTCTCTTGAGAGACCGTGTACGCTATTTCACGAATGCTGACCTAAACAACGATCGATTCAGTTAGAAATGAGCGTCTGACAGGCCAAACACGACCCATAAGCTCCGAGTGAAACATGACCTTGAGAGTGTGCTTGAACAGATCAGTTTTTCTTGTTTTCTCTCTCTCGTGCGAATTATCACCTTTTCTCCTCCTCGAACACGTTCTAAGCCTCCTAGTCTCGAAGCTTTTTATTCTCTCCCTCCATTCACTCTATAAATTCCATGTTTCTTGTTTTGTTTTCTCACACTTAAATAGCCTTCCACCTGCCTCTCTTTCCTTGCTCCTCCACCTTAATCGTGATTTTCATGATTATCTAACTCGTTCTCGTTCAACTTGCATAAAATGTCCCTCAGGTATCAATTTGCTATTAGTTCTCAAGCCCCGATTATTATATTTGGAAGGATATTAAATTTATAACTTCAGCTTGGCGTTTTTTTGCAGCCAATGGCAAATCGGTATTTTCGATTATAGCCATTACTATTTAAACAGCTACTTCCGCTCTCTGCACCAAAGACAATAGTAGCAACGGACGAGGAACTGCATTCTTGCATGCAGAATTCACAACATTCGCATAGACGCAAAAGTAAAATCCTACGAAGGAACAACAAGTCAAACAAGACATCGCGCTTTTATTTAATGACTCACTTCTAATCTAAAAAGAAATTAAATGGACTGCATCAGGCTATCAGTGGAATGAGAATGATCTTGACTCACGCAGAGTATAATTCTCCATACTTGGCCGGTAGCTTTAGTTTAAGCTACCGTGTACTCTCAAATCTGAAGATCTCACTATCCATGAAAATTCAAAATCTTTGAAACAACACTTATGAACTGGGCCCAGCGTCATACTGACATAGCAGCCCGGGAGGGGAGGGGGGGGGAGTTGGAGTACTCAACAAATGTTTATACGGTGGAGGCCCACCCCCTAACCTTTTATATACCATTTTTCACGATTTCGTATACCTTCTATTGACAAATGGTACTCCTTTCACATGCCTTGCTTAGAACTTTGTATCCCTTTTAGCTGCTGGAAACCCACACTGTCATAAAATAGGAATCAGTCACAAATATAGAACGCTTTCTCGACGGGTAAGGGGTGGACCTCGGGGCGGAGCCTCCCCGTACAAATATTTGTTGAGTACAAGTACAAATAATCAATAACAAGAATCGCCAAAAGGCGATTAACTGGGCGCCAATTTCCCTTGGGGAGGGGGTGACTACACACTTAGGCCATCAGGCATGTCGCTTACCATTGCGTGACGTAGCATCTCATGTGAGAGTAGCCTGTTCCAGGCGTTCAGATAGTGGGGAGCGGTGAGAAGTAAAAAGGCGCGCGAAAAAATGAAAAAACGAGGGAGTTCCCCCTCTACTTTTCATCGCTTTCTTTACTCCACTATCTGAACTCTTGGATCAGGCTAATGTGAGAGTTAAACAGTTACTCAATTGAATCGAAATTGAACATTGTTCCCTTTTGGAAGAGTTTCGTAACAAGAAAAATGAGCACCATTTTTGAGTCGGGGCTGTATAGTACCTTTTCAAATTCCCCCATTACGAATAAAAATGAGTAAGTGAGCCTTTACTAAGCGGGAAACAAAAAGTAATATATATTTTTTTTGACATGGTGATCTACAATGAGCACATTCCCTAGGATCCTAGGACATTTCCTTTGTCCGTTTTATCCCGGGGGAGGAACTCTCTTGCATTAACCTTAAAGATATTGTTGGGAAATAGTGTAAAGATAAGATCAGGCGGACGGAGCAGCCCCACTACGACTTCCCAGAAATACCCCCCGAGAAAAAAACTGAAACCCATTTCTTAAACAGGGCTCGTCACAGGCAGCCCAGTTAATAAGGAACAGTTTCCTTTGGAACTTGTCACTGATGACTGATCACTTGAACGCTGACTAAGGAAGCGTTCCCTGAGGCCCTGCCAGGGGGATCCCATGTCGCCTGTCTGAATTTTAAAACGTCTCGTGTCGTCGGTGTTTATAAATGCTTGTCGCTTATTGTTGGCTTTGCCGTCACTGTCGCAATTTGGTCGAGGGAGATTGTCTCTTGTCGCGATTTCATTTTACGCGCTGTTGCTATTGCTTGGGCCATGTCGCTTGTCAGAATTTACCGTGGCAGGGCCTCTTCCCTAAATTTCGGTAACCTAACCGGAAAATTTAGTGTCAAAAATAACAATTTTTCCTTTGATCATCCCAGCAATTAAGCGTATCCACAAACACTTCCCCCATCCCGCGTATCTCGCGCTCCACGCCCGCTTCATGCTTGTCCTCGCTCGCTTAAAAAAACGAAAAAAAAAAGGCCAGTCCTGCAGGCAAACAGAGGCGAAGAGGTGATTAAATTTTTCAGCCACTGACTTTGGGACTTAACTGTAAGTTAATGAATATCTATTAGTACTACATTCCATTCCATTCCATTCCCTTCTGTAAATATCCACGACTTTTCACATCCATTTCGCTGAATGATAACTGATGTTTTCTCAAATAAACGATCATACTCTTATAAGTTCCCCAAATAAGCGCCCTGACACTTGACCAAACCTCACTAAGCAAATAAGCGTCTTCCCCCATGCCCTGTCATCCTTTTTTTCCCCGATACAAAACTAAAAAACTCAAGTAGAGTGTTATTTCAAGTCAAATATCAACCAACAACACTGGCTTCAGTTGTAGCTGTTCGTCCGTTTATTCATTTCCTATTAATATACCTTAAGTTTCGAGTATTTCTGGCGATTCTGGGCTGCGCTGTTTTTGATAGGGGAGGAGAGGGACAAGGGGCAGTTGAAGAAGAGGGTGGGGTTGAGGGAAAAGAAAAGAAAAGCAGCGTTAATTATGTTGAGATTAACGAAAACGTTAGTCCAGTCTATTGCATGTCTCTGATGGTTATTGTTTCATCAGATGATAAACATTGCAACCATAGAGGGCTAGGGCCGGTAATCGATACAATGTGAGTCACGCGCGAAATGTTTGCAGACTAGGTTGTGAACTTCTTGATGATTTCGCGCGTGAATACTCAGCTTTTGCTGTTACACGCGATCAACTTGTCGCAAAACAATTTCCACATTGCAACCTGAAACAACGACATTGTTGAGAGAAACGTTACAAGAATTTGTTGTTTGTATTACAGAATCTTCATATTAGATTCGGACAACCCAGAATTGCCAAAAATGTCTTCATTTGATTCAGTCCCCCTTTAATATCATCATAAAACTAATATGCTAGAATTACAATTCTCCTTTTAAATATATCATATAAAGGTCTGAAAATTATTATCTATATTCGAAATAAAATTATAAATGTGATTATATCATCAATCCCACTCAAAAACACTTTGATACACTTTTGACAAATCAATAAATCTAATTGGCGTGTATAAAATCAAACCTGAAAAATTACAACAAATCAGTGCTATGCCTTAATTTATCTTATCACTTAAGAGTCTGTTAAACATAAAAACTCGACTAAGATGGCTAAAACACAGCCCGCTATGTTTTAGCCCTCAGCCAAGTAGATCAGTTTTACCACCAAGAAACGTTTCAAGCAACGACGACGATCAGTTTTACCACCAAGAAACGTTTCAAGCAACGACGACGATCAGTTTTACCACCAAGAAACGTTTCAAGCAACTACGACGATCAGTTTTACCACCAAGAAACGTTTCAAGCAACTACGACGACAGCAACACGAACGTCAAAAAAGCAAAGGGTGTAATAAGTAACACAACGACTATGCACGCGTGCAGCGTTCTTTCTGGTACATTTCTTTTTTCTGCTATTGCACGACTACGACCACTAGAGATTTCCAGTACAAAAGTTTTGAACTGGAAGGGGTGAGAAGTCTGAGTATTCAACTCCACGACGTTTTTCATCCTGCATTTAAAATATCGAGGAAGCTGAAATAATGACAAAGAAGTCTCTAAGAACAGGACTTCATTTTGTTAGCAGCTGTGTTAGTGACGTTTACGTTGCCATCTTATCGCCATCCCCACGCAGACGTTGATTAGGGTGCATGATGAGCACATCGCCTCAAAGAAACAAGCTACGAAGTTATTATTGATAATACTGCAATAAAAATCTGTCTTCTTTTGATCAATCCATTCTCAAAAATTTTCATCTCGTTGTACAACACATCAAGAGAAATCAAAGTTGAAAAATTGCTTATTAAATCACATGTTGCAAGCATTTTAAAACCTCAAAATCTCTTAAATAGGAAAATGATAAGTCCACGAAAAACTGAGAGGAAATAAACATTACAGTACGAGTAATCACTTGAAGCCGTTGTGTACTGTAAATTACAGAAACCTTAGCTTAATGGGCCAGGTTTGAATTATCAAAATTCATACGTGGCTCCAAGGCTGAGAGGAATAAAACAAAAATAATTGAATTCTTTATCCCTAAATGTAAACACGTTTTCTTTTATTTCATACTACTTGGCCTCTTGACCACGTGTGAATTTAAATAATTCGAAACTTCTACTTGTAAAAAACGTACACCTTGTTTGAATATCTACTTTATAAACTCTCGGGTTTCCAAAGTAAAGAGAAAATAAACATGTGAACCAAATTAAACTACGTCAATTCAGTTCTCAGTTGTAAGTCTACAGAGGCGCAGAAACCAATTTTAAGCGTGAATTGATAAAACACGCTTCCATAGCATTGGTGGTAACTGTTGTTCTGTGAGCCCCCCTGGGGGACGCACCCTCTTATCATTTAGCCTGAAAACTGGTAACAACTCTCAAAGTTTCGGCGTGAATTGTTTTTATTGCTTCACTTTCTAGCCTTTTAGCCTTTTTCAGCCCACTCACCGCCCTCCATTGGTTGGTTACAGAGTACATGACGTATCAAAACGAAGATGGCGTTTCAGAGTGCATGACGTGTAGGGAGGCTGGACGTTCAGCGTTATCAAACATCAAAGAATTGCAGAAATCGAGCCATACAATCTCATCAAAAAACCAGAACCAGCTAATGACCGCTCCCACAACCTGCATCCCCACAGGGATGAGGAACAACAGTTATTCTACGAAAAGAGACTGCGTTTCAGAGGAAACGCGAATTTTACATTCCTTCGAAAATTTTCAGATATGCTAAAAAATTATAGTTATCCCCGTTATCTCCATGGGAAGAAAAAGTTCAGTCTTCCCTTTCTATTGTGTGTGACAAGACGAGTAACACGTGAGCTAATGTTTGTGTACCTGGACAAAACTAAATTGCAAAATTGCAAAAACGTTGGCATAGAAAAATGAAAAAAATGGAGAAAGCCAAAAATTAATAGGAATTAATAAGGTTAATAAGGCTAATGAATTCTTTTCCAGCATCCGCACATGGACGCCGTATTTGAATGTTGGAATTTGCTATAATTGTTTAAAAGCTGAAAAACAAAAAAAAATCCAGCGGATGCCAACGTTATTATAATTAGGTGTGTTTTAATAAAATGCAACTATTAAACTTCTTACACACAGAGGGTTACGATAAAAGAACGTTCACTACGCTTTTCGATCAACACACGAATAACGAGTCGCAGTTGAAAAAACAGTCAACGCCAAACACGCAAAAACTGACATTTTTTTTAAAAAAATTGTTTTCTTTGCTGACAGTGTTTTAAATATTATAATCACTTGCTTTATAAACCCCGTTGTTTGATTTAATTATTAAAAATAGTAAATTTGAACTAGTATTAGCAAAATTATTATCATACAAAAAGAGATTTAACAAAAATATTCCCACATTTAATATCCATTATTATAAAGAGAATTTTCATAATTTGAAAACTATTTAAGCCTCGTAACTCTTAAAAAAGAATCCAAACTCAATGCTAGCCTGTTACACAAGCAAATTAGAAGGACTTTTCATAAAACTGAGGTGAATAAATTTAACAGGTTTACTTTAATTAAGCGTGAAATATATTACAATATTCCTAGTAAATTAAATATTAATTATCATTAATTACAAATCTAAGTTTCATATAAGGCTATGACTAGCATAATAGCTACACCCGTTAGTATTCCTATGTTCTGTGATAAGACCACAGACAAGCCACCACCTTCTTCTAAAAAGTTGCTCAGCTCAGGAAGCTGTGTAAAAGATGAGAAAAAAAAAATTGAGAATGGGTGAGCAAAAATTCGACAACAAGAAGGATACTTCCCGTTTTCAGCTCTTAGTCATTTTCAGGTTTTATAAGCGCGAGTTTGGGTTGATATTAGCGAAATTTAGAGTGACATTTACGGTAAACAGCAAACGTCAGATACAAGCAGAGAATTTCTCAAATAGAAAATGTGCAGCTAATCCAAAACAATTGTTATAGACAAAACTAATGCTAAGCTACTAATTTTGGGGTAAAAGAAATGAACAGGGAAGAACAAATTAAGGGAAAACTAGGTCAGGTGGTACAAATTCATGTTTGTCGTTTGTTGTAAACGTGACACTAATTCTTTATCGTACTAGCAAGCCGCATCATCTCGGTCATTGTAGCTCATTGTGAGACACTCAGAGCTTATGCGAGCGCTGCTATATCTCGGGCAAAGGGTCAGCTTTTCTTTCACATAACCGCTAGAAGGGTGCCTCTCTTTCCCAGGGTAACGTTTCTACAAATAAAGGGGGCCTGACTCCTTAAAGAGTGACTTTGGTGTACGGCTATAGAGAATGTAATTAGTGATGTGTTACAACACCAAAAAAAAAAATTCTTATGGGAGACCGAGAAAGCAAATTTCAAAAGATTCAAATTTCACAAAACGAGATCTTACGCATGAAATTTTACGCGTTTTTTCTCAATTCCTGTGAAATTTGAAATTTTATTTTCTCGGGCTACAAATAACTAATTATATCTATAACCCTTGAAAAGGGTAAAAAAGAATGCGATATGGTTTAAAATATTCTGGTACAAGGTTTTTGTCCACTGAAAATTAAAATTACTCAATTTCCTGACGGATTCGAAAATAATAATAAAATAAGAAAATAATAATTAGAAGAAAATACACCTGACTCACCATATCAACAAGAGATATGTACAAAAACATTCCAGCTGTGAGTGCTAACACCCAGGAATGAGCGGACTCCATGTCACCAATGATAATTCCCAACACTAGACCAATATAGGAGATGATGGCCGATGCAAAGTTGTATGCCACAGCCTGTCTAAATGTGAGACCTGACTTGAGCAAGATGGCAAAATCACCTGAAATTTCAAAAACAATGTTAGGTTCTAGATTCTTTAAACCTTTCCGAATGGCTTAAAATACGCTTAACATGAGCACAGAAATGAAATCGCCCGGTGAAAGGACTGCCAGGAGAAGAGACGACACCCTGATTGCAAGCAATATTCGCGAGTGCTCGCATTTTTCACTCACGTGACCACCATTTTCTGCAATTGTAAATTCCCTACAGAATAGTTTGACGTTTTCCTATATCTAGTTGACTTATCAGCTAACAAAGTTGAAGGTTCACTAGAACATCCAAAAAGGCCCGATTATGCTGGCCATTTTCCGCGCTAATTTTGCTGCGATCTTTGATGGTAAAACTTCTTTGCGAACTTAATTCAGTACTACAACTTCTAGTCAGGGAGTGGTTACTGCAGAATTTTGTGATGTACACGTCCATTTGCCAAGGCAGGGTTTTGGTAACTCTTTCGCCAAAAAAATCGCCGATAAATCGCACCGAAATTCAAGCAGGTCCGAAACAAGGCCACTTGGCGGCGACAAATCGAGAGGAGATCGCCGCAGGTTTGCCTACACTATATGAAGTCGTACCTAAAATCACACGAACACTGTTACATGAAGGGTGTGAACACAAAACGAACTTTATCTTTCTAAACTGCTTTACGTGCCTAAGAATTCAAATTCAAGAAGTAAAAGAACGGAATTTACTTAATTTGTGACGTTACTTCTTCCGTTGCCGTGATGGTTGCTTAAGGGGCTTTACGATCGGAGAACGGCGTCGCCAACGAAAACGCCGGTCGAAGAAAAATAGGCGCCGGATCCTTCCAATGATCATTTCAAGTCGCTCATTAGCATGAAAGATCAATTTTCCCAGGAAAATTTTTTTGAACAAGTTTTCAACCCATGATATGACGAGTCGAGAGAAATTTATTACTGCGGCAATAAATCTCACCTAATTCATGAGGCAACTCGTGACAAAACACCGCTATAGCAGTGGTGAGACCGCTGGTCAGTGAGGCAGAAAACGCAGCACCGACGGCCAATCCATCACTGAAGTTATGAAATCCGTCACCAACAATCACCATCCACGCTACAGTGGCAATTGATGTGTTTTTGTCGATCTTGTGGCTGTGGTGATGATGATGGTGGTGATGATTATGATTCTCCTCATAATGTTGATCTCCACTTTCACTTGCAGCATCATCCGTGCTGGTGTCTGTAGTTACAGAGGTGACCTGGTACCTATACCCATGACCACGGTGACAATGACCTTGACTAACACCACGATTGGTTTGGCTGCTACTATCACTAGCGTTGCCAGCAAAATTTTCATTGATGTAAAGGTTTGGGTGAATACAAGATTTCCCATATAAAGCAGAAATCAGTTCTGTGTCACTATAGCTGTGCTTGCTTGCTTCACTCATACTATCTCGCTGGTAGCAATGGTGGCCATGGCAACTAGGTTCCCACAAGGGCACTTTTTCCTGGGAGCTCTCTGGCGTGTTGCTGGTGCGTACCTCTTTCGCAGGCTCCACAATAACGAGTTCACATGAAGATGGCTTATAAGTCTGAGACAAAGGACCGCTTACTTTTGGAAAGTGTGCATCATCATAGCTTATACAGCGGTGAGTACCAGCGAGTCTGGAACCAACCATTGCTTGATACTCCTTGGCACATTTTTTCTTTTCCTTCAGGCTCTGTTATAAGAAAGAAACATTCATAACAAGTTATGAGCCAAATAAACATGTTTTAAACTTAATACAGAAAAGCATGTCATCATTAGAAAGAGTTGGTTAAAAATATCACGAAATTCTTTGAGACCCTTCTTATGTCAAAAATCGCTTAAAAAGTACAGCATTCAAAGCAGGAATTAAAGCTAGAACGTTTCATCGCGATTTAATACTTATGCTTCTTTTCGTGTAACTTTATTGAATGTGTACGTACGCAACGATACATAAAAAAGTCTAGGCTGTTAAAGGTTCAAACGCACAGTCAATACACTCCGAGGGGAGGGAAGGGGGGTCTTGTACTAGTCTTGGACAAGTTCCTGTGAGTCATAGGCTCAGCCTACGCCAGTTATATAGCATATTCTGCATGACGTGAGAAGTAGGCTCCCTGTTTTATGTTGTAATTGGGTTTATCTTATAAATCCTCTTATGTGTTGCATCAAGGACAGAGGAGTATCAGCTCAAATGGATCTCAGAGAATCTGAATTCAATTCCTCCACTCTGATACACTTCTGTCGAAATTCCTGCTTTCTTTTTTGACCAGGGGTTTGGACTAAACGGGAAGAAAAATCCAACAGTGAAAAACATATAAAATTTTTCCCCGCTGGTTAATCGTTCAGTCATCTGCTCGGTCCCACTAACCTAAGCGCTACAAATGCTGCCAAGAGTAAATAAAAGAATAACTAAAATGTAAGTTCAAGTTCACGGTGTTCTAATGTAAAGCCAAATAGAGTTTGATTTTATGCGTGGACCTCCTCTTCGGTGTGCGTCTAACGGAGTCATTTTTAAAAAACAACAAAATCTCCCCCAGGACCTTTGTTCTTTCCTCGCTCTCTCCGGGGTAAGGAGATAAAGGAAACTGGGGACGAAATTGAACGCAAACCTTTTGTCACTCCTCTGGATGTCAGTTCACTACGTTGGATCAGCTGAATACTGATTTCACTTTGCGTCGAATTTGTCTGAACCTTTCTACTTTTGTAAACCTCAGCACTTTCCCTAATCCTGGCCATCCGGGGGCCCGTTTCTTGAAAGGACAGGTAACTTTTGGGCCCGAAGGAAAAAATTAAAATCAAACCATGAACTGTCAGCTTCGTTAACTGATAGTTTCATTGCCCCCGCAGGGATTTCGCCCAGAGGCGAAATCCCGAGGAGGCACCCTAGTAACTCGCGCGTATATTAAGGACAGTACTTACAGTTCAAATATACAGTCAGTATACTAGAAAAAATCTCGATTTGCTCGAACTGGGGCCGCGAGGAATCGGTAGGTAATGATGACGTTTCTATTGTTTGCGCCCGCAAGTGCGAAATGGTTAGGATGACGTAAAGACAGAAAATCCCGAAGGGACCGCTCAGGTAGATTTTGTGACATTTATTGTGCAGTCATACTCGTGATACTCTTGCGTTACGCAGTGACATTCTGTGGAGCAGTTGTTTTGAAAGTTATGGACCAAAAGACACTCGTTAAGCGCAGGCGAGGTTATAAGGTGCGTTTAACTGTGTGTATATATAAACACCCGGAGAGACACGAGTTCACAAATCTTTGATTTATATTGGAAACCTCGCCAGACACTCTTTCTCTCTCTTTGACGGGAATAAGACTCAGCCACAAACAAGCAAGACGAGTGAACAACGGCTAGCTTATCACTAGCAGACTGTGATGGACATTTACAGAAATTCGCCGACAATCAAATTCTGTGCTGACTTATTCCCTGCTCACAGATGTCCTTCCGTTATAAAGTTTCAAATAAGACTAGAATGCGCTAGCATGAATCGATCAAACGTCCTTTTAATTTCTAAGGCTTACTTTCCGGCAAATAAAATGAACTGAATGTAGAAAGGGAAAGAGAAATAGCGAAAAATTCAACTTCTAAATAAATCTTTTCTTATGGTTTAGAATAAACTATTCTCGAAACTGAGAATGTTTTGATCAAAGCTGTGTAAATCGACCTGAAACTGTGCATGGAACCTTGCGTTTCCTGTATTTATCTCACCTACTGTATGGAATATGTGTAAAAATCTTCATTATGAATCGGTATATTTCAAAGAGCTACACAACGAGCAAGAATACTACTGATCGACAACATACAGAACGGGGGCAGCTGTATTGTCAACTATTACTAGTTGTATCATTGTCAAATTATATCTTGAATGCAAACACGAAGAACATAAAACAGTTTTAGAGCCCGAAAAGTTACCGGTATATTCGAGTAACAGACACCTGGGCAGGAACCAATTATCCCTGGAGAAAACAGAACAACAAGATGGCTACCCTACCATTTCGTCTGGTGTCGTAACATCGTCACACACATGTATATTATGTTGGGTCTGTTTTCTTCTTCCTAAGCGAGCTTTCATTGCACATTCCACCATGAAAAACACATAGATTCCAGCCATAATAACACAGGATTTATAGACGTTAATCTTATGCCCATCGCTTTTATCGGAGTCAGCAGTGTGATTTGAGTCAAATGCCTAAAATTGAAGTAAGAAATAGTAAAATAGTTTTTGTCAGTATACGAAGACCCTAGTTGCGTACTGCATACTTCGAACATAGAGATCAGATTAGTCGCTTACAAGAGATTAAAAACAAAGGAAAATTATACAACCGTTACATTAGAAAGTACTGAGATCACTCACAAAGAAGTGATCTGACCACAGGCCTGAAAAGTTGGTCGTTCAAGAGAGATGGTCGCGTATGGAGACTCGACTATATGGGAACATTTTGATTTTAAATTTCTTCATTAATGGTCGATTTTTCTCGCTAATCAACGTATCGGATCATCTCCTTAAAAAATCAGAGGAGTTTTACAGCTACTGACGATTTTCTTCTTATTTTCTTCATTTCTTCACTCATTCATTCATCAATCCATCAATCTATTCATTCATTCGTTCGTTCGTTCGTTCGTTCGTTCATTTATTTATTCATTCATTTTTTGGTTCTTTCTTTCATTCATAAATTCATTCATTTGTTATTTCACTTAATCAATTAGTCAGTCAAAGAGTCAGTCAGTCTTACCTAATCAGTTGCACATTAATTTTCTTATCGAAATTTCGAAATCTCTTTTCGTATCTTTCTGTACTCACGTGAGGAATGAGATGAAGAAGAGCATCTCCAGACAAGGTGCCTACAGCCAGAGCCACAAGAAATGACATGATCTTTTTATAAATTGATCTGCCCATCAGCGGAATGATTCCTATTGCTAACAGTGACGTCAGGCTAATGACAGTGATTGACAGGACACCATATCCCCAGACTAAGAAAACAAACAAACATATCTTGTCTACATGATTCATTTCATAAGAGTGTAACAAAAAATTTGAATTGGAACCCATATTTGACTATCTGCTGCAGAGTCATATTTTTAGAAGTCACTGAAATAAAACTTGAGCCAAGTCTAAAACGGTCTCATTCAAGGATTAAATTCCAATTTTCCGACGAACACCTCCGTCCCTTTCACACTGAAATCACTTCCTCCCCCCTCCCCCTCCCTCCCGCAAGACCATGACGTTCTTAGAGGTCACGTAATCGTAGCCATTATCCCAGTTCAGTTCAATGATGCGACACACATACTTTGAACTGTTGTGACGGACGTGAGGGTGTGAATAGGCTAATATACCTCAAGTCAACAAGCAATTCAAGCAGTTTAACAAGCTCTTTGGGCCTCTTTTTCGACAAACAACAATAAAGGGGTTTAGTCTAGAAAGCGTTATCATTTGTTGCACATTTATGCCACTTTATGACGATGTTCGTAAGACTTCCATTCTTTTTTTACCAAGTACTGGCCCGCTCAGGCTAACAGTTTATTACGAAAGTACACGTTAGTCCTACATAGGAAGAAAACATAACAAAAGACAAACGTACAAAAAAGAATTTTTAAGGTAGAAAAAAACGTCAAGCACTATCTAAAACCGCACTCCCAAAAACGAAGTTAGAGTTAACTAAAATTGATTATTTGACTGTGTATTTGTATACAAAATATCTCCCATACAATTTTCCGAAGTGGACTTCTATAAACTCGTCTAAAAATTAAAGCGTCTGTTTTATCCGACAATAAGTTGGTATTTTGTTGTTTTACGGTCACAAACCAAACAATTGCTATTGTATTGTATTGCTTAAGACGGCACCCCACTGAGACCTTTCTATTGAGCCTACTGCTAGGACTGTTCGGGTTATCAATGTCCATGCAAGTTTCCTAAATCGTGCGAATGAACAGCGAAAGACGGAATAAAGACCCAAGCTCTTGAAAGAAAAAGAGAAACATAAAATATCCGTCACTAGTTCACTTTGGATGTGAAGCGGATTAGAGCCGGGTTTCGATGGATTCATCATCAGTTCATGGAACAGTGACTGAGGTCACTGGAACTCGTCCAGTTTGGTTTAACCTCTTTTAGCTTACCCTCTAAGGAAGGAAATAACAACTGCAAGGGTGCAGTGACTCACCTTGTAACATTTTGGGATCTGTATTTTCCTCGTCTTCGCTCTCAGACTCTTGAACTTCAATGCAGGCACCCTCCAGAAGCTGGTGAACTAGCGACGGGCAAATCCGCACAAAATCTTCTTGACTCACTCCTTTTGTTTCACTGACTTGATGGATTCTCAGTAAATCTTGTTCTTTTAGGCACTAGAAAAGATACAAATGATCTGAAATTGCTTCGTAAATATGGAGCCGAAAAATTCAGTGGCTCTTAATCCTCGAACAAAAAGCAGAGCAAAGCCAAATCGATTCAACCGGTTCATTGTAGCCGGTCCTTCACGCAACCATAAACGATCGACCCGGACCGTGTATTAAAACTTACAAGGTCGGTTGTTGTTTCCAATCACCAAGCTCCGAGAATCTTAAAAGTACGTGAACACACTTGTCAAAGCCTACAGGTTTGTCTTCATCGGTTGTGAATCCTGCGTCACTAACGTATTCAGGTTTCACCGACGCGTTTTCTTCACATGTAATCAATCCGGAGGTGTTCTTTGAACGTTTTTAGGGCGGTACTGCTGAGATGGGACTGTGTAACGCTAGGCCTGTATCAGCCTATGTTCAGCTACAATGTCGCAAACTTTTCATTTAGTGTGATAGCGTTGGATTTGTTGCTTTAGAAAACCAGTCATTCAAGATAGAATAATAATAAGTTTGGGGCAAAGAGAATCCGGCGGAACTCCTCCACCTGAAATACTCCTAACGATACCCCCGGGACTGTAGGAAGCAGCACCTCCTAGGTTCAAGAAGCTAGTTGATTGACAACAAAGTACTTCACGTTTTGTTGGGATAATGACAGTAACCTGGTAACACGAACTCAAGCCAACCTACAGTAGCCTGTTCCAGGCGTTCAGATAGTGGGGAGCGGTGCGAAGTAAAAAGGAGCCCCCTCTACTTTTCATCGCTTTCTTTACTCTGCACCGCTCTCCACTATCTGAACGCTTGGAACAGGCTAACCTACAGTAGCCGTTCGGATAGTTGAGTCGACGCTGCGCCGTCCCCACGATTTGAACGCCTGGAACCGGCTAAAGCGAACCGTCATCCGAGTTCTTTCTAAACTGTATGCCGGATATTACTATGTTTCGTTTTTCCGAAACTAATTTACGACTTGACAAATAGAAACCAATAACTTCTGCTCCTATTTTAACACACATCTACATGTCGGTTCGAAACACTGCACATCGTGAAAGTGAATGTTGCAACCTGTGAGCAAGCTGAATTGCTACGTTAATATTTAGGGGAAGCGAGTATTTTGACGGAAGAGACGTCGGCGCAAGCTACTCTGAAGATAGCATACAGTATCCAGCATTAAAAATGGGGCGACCATCCATTCTTCTCGCCGCACGTCAACCTGCTCTCAGGCTATAAAAGCTCTGACTTCTTTCATCTCAAGAATGTGGAACAGATTTGACCTAAGCACTGAAGGTCGCCTGTCCGTATTAAAGCAGGCAAAGTGATCTAATCGACTTGGCCGTGAAGCTACGATAGCATTATAATTTGCTTTGTTTCGCTTTGATTGTATGGCCTTGAAAAAAAGAAATTTAACGACTATATCTTCAAACAACTAAGCAGGGCTTTGTGAAAAAAGCGAGAGAAAAAATTTCAACTGGATACCAAGATATGGCCTTGAGAATTGCTGTAAATGCAGACTTTCGATTTTTAAATAAATTTTTTGCCTAAAAAATCAGAAAAATCGACGATGAAAAGGTATAATTGTCTGTGATGATTTTCGGCCAAAAAACTGGCTTTCTGGACTTCGCCAAACGAACGACGATATAAATTGAAAATTGGGAGTTGCAGTTGGTTTGTGTGCTTTCATAATTGCAAAATCTACTATTTAGTGCTATGAATAAATGTCCAAAAGGTTGTAACTGAAGTAAGACAAGAAGCGTTAGTTAACGCATTAACGCATGTACCAGTAGGGTTTTTTTACGCATATATTGCGGCGTTAGGCTTTAAAGGGTTAAGCTTCCTATCTTTCACTCCGCTGCCATTTCCTTTTCTATTTCAAACACCTCGCACCACACCATGTCGTCATCTCACCTCTCTTAGCTTGCAGCACATTTATCACAACCCGAGATTCGTTTGCTGCTTCAGGTCCAGGTTTTTGCCCTGAAGCCCTGAAGCATGCTTGACAGTTCAACTGTATGAGACGGAAAATGTGCTGTTGCACAGAGGCAAATTATAATGTCAAACCAGTGTCTTATTGAGCATCGCCTGTATGCCACGTGCACAGCCTTACGAAGCCTGCCTACTACGCAAGACGCTCTGGGGGGTTTGTCACGCGTTCCTGCCCCACGAACGTCTGCTGACTTTGCAAATATCAGCTGGAGCTCACGTGCAGATTATCGAAGACAACCAATCGGCGCTGTTGAATACAAGCTCGGTAGAGTTTACGTGACCGACGTGTTTAGCTCCGGGCAACAATATTTAGGAGATGAAAGTGGGCGTTTTGTATGTTTGACATATTTCTCTTCGTAAAGGCTGGATTAGATGTCATTTGCTCATGAAGTTGGTCTGTGGGTGAGGCAACGGAGGGGTTGTACGTTGTAACTGAACAAAAGGCAGACTTTTTTTCGCAGTTTATTGTTTTGTAGTAAAGCCGACTTCTGTTCTAAAATTAAAAGGTCTTCACCTTTCGAGTCTCGCGCGAATTTTCTGACGGTCCAAAGTGCATTTCCCAGATCAAGGAGTGTGCTATGATTGGTCTACGTTTTTTACCGGTCGATTCAGCAGAAGTTTGTGACGAGCCCCTAACAACGCTCTCTCCTCCGCAGAGGCTCCCGCTGAGTATCTTAATAAAAATATCAATACAGTAAATGTGATCGAAACATAGAAAGCGCGCGGGGGACGATAGGAAGAGGGAAACAAATTATGACTTTTTTTCAGTTTGGCCATTCGAAAAAATGAACGATGTTCCCTTAAAATTAACTGGCTGGCCTGCTCCAGGCTCTGAGGTAGTCGGGTCCACTGAATTAAGAAAGCGCGAATATGAAAAAACGGGAGGAAAATGAGGAGAGGAAGGGCGGCGGAGCCCATAATCATTTCTTTAAACGGCCTCCAGCTCCTGGTATACCCTCTGATTGGTCAGATTTGACAGGTTGCTATATCAACACTCTCAAGGCGGGTTGTTCCTGTCACTCAGAAAGATGGCAAGCGGCGTCCACGCTCGCGTGCCTTTCACTTTCGCGTCTTCCCCACTATCTTAGAGCCTGGAACAGGCTATTAACTGGCTTACAGTTATGTTGCCCCTGGTGAGCGAGTGTAATTTCAGTCTCCCGCGCTCGAACTAAGCTGAACTGAGCTCTAAATCTCTCCCGAACATAAAGAAGGGCCTCGAATAAGCTCTCAAACCATTAATAATTTAAACGGCAAGGTTAAAAAAATAATAATAATAATAGTATATATAAATAAAGATAGAAACATGCATCGCGATATATGCTTGAATTTCTGATTAAACAACTTACCGTTTTTGCATCCTTAATTTATCCTTCAAATTGCAAAAAAAAAAAACACGGAACTCCTTTAACACTTTTGTCTCCTTTCTGTTAGAGATACGATGAGGATCTGTCTCGTGTCAGATGTGTCAATTGCAACGGCATCAAAACTGTATACAACGTTGCACACACGAATCGCGTGTGCGCATGCCACGAATTTGCACAACATGTAAATAATTTGCTATGGTTGTACTCAGCCCGAACTTCCTTTGGTTGTTCTTTTTTGGATGCCAATGAAGGAGCGGGGTGTTACGTTGTTATAGTTCTCGACCTACGTAGCTCACCGAGGGCAAGACAACTTATGCACTCGCCTGGTTGACCACCAAAAAGTTCGCTAGCTTCCTTTACGATACAGATACAATCAAATGAAATTTGGACTGGATTGTTCCGAGCTGTTGTTAGCTCCTAATCGTTTACAATCGGTTTTCTTATTAAAAAAAAAAAAAGGAATAAAGCTAAGATACAAAAAACCGCAATTGTATGCCACATATAGAGCTCTTCAACCACTGTGTATGTGCGAGTACTAGGTAAAGAAAAAAACGCAAGGCCTTATTTTAATTTATTGACAGCATTATTAGGATAAATGATAACACAGCAATATTAAACATAACTGTACTTTGCTGAAGTGAATACGGTCAAAACAATTACCGCTTTGCCGACAAGGAAAAATGTAATTGCAGCCTTATTTCATATCACCTAAAATGGCTTTGCAAAATGCTTTTAGTTCAATAAACTATAATACCTGTTGACAATGAAGCTCTTGGATAAACTGAAGAGCTGTTGTACACAGTGGCTTTCCAAACGTCAACTCTGTGAAAATGCTAACATTCGACTATTCAATAATTCATTACAAAACATTTGTTCCATTGCGTAATATGAAAGAAAACTTGTGACCTGACAATTTAAAAAACACCGAGCTGTCGCTATTTATTACTGATGTTTACATATATGACATCAAAAAAGCTGGAGGAAAAAGTTAATGCATGTATCATCCTAAAAACAATGCACAGAAAAATTGTTAAATAACGGTTCCTTTCAGGTCGGTATTTAAAAAAAGAAACTCAGGTAACGAAAGGTTTTCGTGCAATGAAACAACTCGTCAGTTTGAATGCTGTCCAAAAGTTATAAATGATTGAATAATCAGCAGAGAACTTGTTCTTGCATGTGCTCTGTATAGTTATATACACGTATGTTTAAGCTTAGCTAACGTTCGGTCTTGTAAACGATGGTTTCACGTTGACACAAGATCACAACAATTAGCTTTTATAATGAATATCCCAACTCATCAGTTGGTATATGTATCCATAATGGGACCTAAACAAAATAAAAATTGGTCCAAAATTTTAGTTGTCACCTGAAATGCCGGTATTTATCCTGTATTTGCACGCTAAAATCAGCATAAGTTAAAAACAAATAGGACAGAAATCGCTTAGTCTTAGTGGGATGTTCCTGAGTAACTTTAATCGCCTTCAAAAAGCTAGCCTGCAGTACAGGCGTTTTCTTCGGGCACGCGAATGCGCCATGTTGAAACTCCCGAAGAGAGGAGGAAATGACCTTCCTTGCACTCACCCTACGGGTCCCCTAAGGGTTACTATTTCTACTATCCCCAATCTTCCTCTGCCATTAATCAAAGATGGCGGCCACAACAACACGAACACGAACAAGGTTTCGCCACCCAAAATACACCTGGCTATCAAAAAGCAGGAACAGATGCGAAGCCCGGCGCTAATTCACCTTTTCAAGTTTTTCTTATATAATGTTTTGTATTCATTTATATATTTAACTATTTTAGGCTTCCTTCATAGCGTAGAAATAGCGTTTTTCCTCTTCTCCCTTTTTTATTCTTTTCCTTTTTACGTATACATTTGTGCTTCGGTTTTCTTGCTGACCTGTAATTTAATTTTATTTAATACTGATGTCAACTGGCTGCCTGGCTTCGCTAGCTCCCATGGTTATTCCAGGCAGCCAGTACTCTGATTTTTACTTTTAATATTTTCATTGCTGTAATTTATTTTTGAGCAAGAGTGAGTAAAAATAAAGATTGTTGTTGTTATTGCTATTAAAATATTCTCTAATTATTCCCCTGAAAAATATTCTCGATGTTGGACGTGAAAGGTTTGCAACTGAACTTCGGGGGGGGGGGAGGGTAGTGCGGTTTTACAACAAGGAAATATAGTTCGGGTCTAACTGTAAAGTCAGACTGAAAAGTTGCCGGAAGTCTACAGTTCACGGATTGATAAGATACCATTGATCAAAGTCATACTATTAGATTCTTGTTAAACCAAACCAAGCATGTTCGTAAGAGATCGTACAACTTTCAATATAAAACTAACCCAAACTTGCGAAATCACTTAAAATATACTAAAACTCAAGTGCAAGCACTGTAATTGCTCGTTTGACTCCTCGAGTTTCAGTTCTACGCAGACAAAAGACTCTGGTCCTTTCAAGTTATAAAATTAGACTAAATCAATACAATTCTTAATTTATGGCAGAATAACTTTCCGTAAAGCTTAGGCCGACTGAAATCCTAAACTGTCATGTTTCAAAAAACTTTCCAGAGAGTTTTTTTTAGAAAAAGATTAGTCCTCAAAGACCGAGGGACCACAGGAACTGAAAATGATTGTCCATTGCCTTGGGTCAACTCCACAATTAATATCACATGATCAAATTGTTATAGGAATATGCTTTCCTGGATTTCATGGTTTCAGTTGAGGATGGGTATTTTCTCTCAAGTTTTGTGAATTAAAAGGTCTTTCATGATGAGGTAGATATTTTAAACAGGAGATAAGGTTTAGCACTGCACATCCTGGCTAATATCCTACACAATCCCGCCTTCAATCCAGTAACTACATTGAGCAAGGAATCGCCATGCTGGGATTACAAAGCCAGAAAAGAGCGCAGAAATTTCAGGCTGTTTCTTTGATGAAAAGTGGAAAACACACCGCATTCCGCTTTTGGCGATAATATCAATTCGTTTTTAGCAAGAGGAAATCTGTTCATCGAAGCATTCTTATAACAGCAACAGATCAATTTGAAAGGGCACCCAGTACCTCGGACCACCCCTCCCCGGCTTTTTTCTCGGGCGGTGCGCTTCGCTCGACATTAATCTTAATGTATAATCTTTTTGCTGATAATTGGACTTTTATTTCACCGTAGTATTGATCCCCCATTCTGCTTCACCTTAACAAAAACACACTCAAGCGAGGGTCTCAAGCAGACCTTTTCCCGACGAACTGTGCTAGAGCGAATCAACACGGTCATTAAGAACTCTTACCCAGATTCTCAATAAAGAACTCACGATTTGCGTTGAAACGCTTAAAACGCAGAAGACTGCAAAACAGCCGCCGTTTTTTTTCTCAAAATCAGTAAAGAAATCGGTAAAGCGTGGCGTAAGAGTCTTACGCGCGCGAAGTGCGGGAGCCTCACACGCCCGTGAGAGAAAAAAACCGTCTCTCCCCAGTCTCGCTCTCTGTTTTCAGCCTCGTTCCAGGCCTTTTGTTTGACTGCTTGCGCGTACTTGAATACGCAAAAATACGGACTGTTTTGCAGTCTAAAAACGCAGCTCATTCCGTAACGCTGAAAAAGTTACTTGTCTACTAAGAACCTACTTCCAGAGAGCTGGGTGAAGAGAGTGTATGCATAAGTTTGGCAGCCAAGATAAACTTTACTTAACAAAATGACATATTTTGTGCCAATTATAGCTATCGCTAAGTGCCAACGAGCAAATATTTATTAATAACCTATACGCACGTGCTGTTTAATTGTTTAGAAATGTCATGAATTTTCCCACGCAACATAATTAAGATTGATTGATACGCTTCGCCTTTCTCAAAGCTCAAGAAACCGCAAGTTCGCTAGTCGGTTTTTAGGATGGTTTTCGGTTTTCAAGTCACTTGAAACTTTCTTGAATCGTTTCCACTTTTCGACTTTAATGATATGCAAAGCAAAATATTGAACTTGAGATGTTATTTAGGCCTTCAAACACATATCTTTGGTTAAGTAAGACTTAGCAACTCTTAAGTCTTACTTAACAGCCTAGTGTAAAGACAACCATTGAAATTCGTGTTTTTGTCTGAAGTTGCGCACAGGTCATTTTGCGTAAAATTTAGTTGTCTTACAAGCGACCTTAGAATCCTCGAAAAATAATAAGTCTGCGAATATTCAACGTAGGCAAAGATTTAAATTTGGTCTCTTTTAAAGCTTAAGAAGTCTACTTTTCAGGAAAAAAGATTTATGGTGCGCTGATGAAGCCTTCCGAATATTTTGCTTCAAAGACACCATAAATTTTGCGGCGTTATTATTTTTTCTTAGCGGCATAAACAGGAAGTGTATTCGGGTAAAATATTTTGAACTCAATTCGAACTAAAATGTTCTACTGCATAAAGAATTGGAAACACTGACTTTACATGGCATATTTTTCTTATATTCTGTGTTCTGCAAAGTTACCTTACACTACCTTATATTACATAGCTTCGATCGAGTTTCATTCTTCCTTGGAACTTTCGCGTACGGCTATATCATGCTGCCGCCTCGCAGCCTCGTGTTTTCCCGAGCCTGTTCGTTGGCCATAAGACTAATAACTACAGTAGGAGATATTGGAAACTTAAAAAACTACAGTGAATCTAAGTTCTCTTTCACTCTCGCTTTTAGTGTTCTCGTTGCGAACCCTAACAGTGAGCAATGACTCAAAGGTGTTCTGTAGGTCCTTGGTTAGCCTGTGGTCCGGCTGCATTCAAATGGCACTGGACAAGCTTTCGAACGGCTGAAAAATTTGACTCCACTCTTCTTTCATACGGAACCGTTCAACATTTTCGCTCTGTTCACACGGAACTAACGAATCAGGTTAAATAGAACAGTAATAGATCCTTCCACAGTTTTTTCAACTTTTGACATGGACCAGTAAGGGGGAAATCCGTCAACAGCGCCTTAAAATTTGTAAAATTGCCAAATTTGAAAGTGATTCTTCTCAAGCGAGCGAAGATATAGTTCCATTTAGTTGCGGAAATTTGCAAGTTTGTGCCCCCCACCATACAAACCTCTGAAAAATTTCGCGCCTTAGAGGAACCACTATCTTCATTAGTTTTTAACAAATCTCTTCAAACTTGGCAATTTTACTAATTTTAACGCGCCGGTAGAGACGAGGAGCAATGAGCGACGGCTATATTCGCAAGCTGATCTTGTACGTCATCTTGGGTTTGGTCCCCAAGAAAAGAATTCGAGTTCAGGGAAATTCACTTACATTTGCCATTTCAAGCGGGTTGGAATAAACGCGAAAAAGTTTGAAAGAATTCATTTTAATAGTGACGTTTTCGCTTCCCTTGCCATCATTCCGTTGTTGGTTAAACGCTCTGTATTCGAATTCATTACCGTGATTCTTCCATTTTGGTTTTACCGCAAACTTCGAAGGCGGAAAAGTGTTCGAATTCGTTGAAATAATGAGCCATAATATTATGGTTCTTGCCAAGAAACATTGCGGGTTAATAAGTAATACAATCAACTCTCGCCTTGCGGAAACCCCGCTATAACGGACACGCCAATAATACGGTCAGCAGCTAAATCTCAGGAAAAACTAAATTACAAACATTTGACTGAAATAAACTCCCACTATTACGGACTCTCGCTAATGAAGACACTAACTCGAGGTCCCTACAATGTCCGCTATAAAGGAAGTTGACGGTAGCCGGTATCAGGATCAACATCTCCGCAGACTAGACCAAACCGGAACGTTTTTATTTATCGGGTTCACCCTTCTATCTGAAGGCGAAAAAACGAACCAGAATCCGCAAAATTTAACTGTGGTTTTAATGAAACCGTAGTCATAGTACAGTGATAATATTAGAAGACATTTTAAACAATAAGAATAATAAAATTGCATGTTTTGTACTTACCCGCTGCTTGCGTTGTTCATGTCGGTTTTCGTGCACTTTCCGCTGCTCTCTGTCTTGAAAATTCTGTGAATTTTGTGCAACTTTGGATGGGCCTTTCCTCCTCGAGTTCCTCAAGCTCGGTTGTTTCACAGGTCTATGTTCATGTGTGTGATATTCATTTGGTTTGTCTTCAGTCGATTGTTCCGCCGAAGTAACCTCCCCCAGATTCAGTTCTTTTAAAATATCGTTGAACCGTGAAGCGGAGATTCGTCGAGTCGAATTATCCGAGTAATCCTCAAATATAAGAGCTAAAAATCGCTCGGTTGCCTTGTTTAAAGCCACCGTTCTCTTATGCTCGCTTGGAGAAGGGCTATTGTTGTGATCTCGTCCGCTCGTCATCGAACACAGCACTAACATTAATGGTAAATATATAAATAATCTTCTGCATCGAAGGTTATAAAATGCCATTTTGTAGATTAAAGTTCCAAGATGGGTTACTTTTCTCGATTCTTTAAGAATAAAACTGTTAAAAGTGATGGTTGTTGTTCCGGAGTTATTGCTCTTCAAACGTTTATATAGCTGAAAATAGCGACTTTACCGACTTTCCGGTGCAGACAAATCCACGTACATCGACCGAGGCCTGCCAACATCCGCATTCAGTTCTGCAAACTGTCAAATCTTCAAAGGAGTCGTTAGGATGCGTTTATAAATGACAAGAAACAGCTTTTCTTCGAGAAGGTTTTCGCCTCTCGAATTACACGTAACGTCGCCTTAGTCATCCACTATGATCAGTTCACATTCAATTTAAGTTTACTCAGGTGATATAGGATCCCAATACTTTTGTTCTGAAAGAATAAAAACATTACATGAAGCAATGTTAAACTGGAAATTATTAAAGTGCTTTATGTACATGGGCGCAGTTCTGGCATTTAAACCGCGGTCGCGCTTCATGAAGTTTAACTCTATACCTTTAAGGTAGCCAACCATTTTGGCCAAGGTTGAGTGGGATCCAAAAATTGTAATAAAATTAGTTGGTGAAAGGACGCTAATACAAACATGGTAATTTTGAAAGCAACCTGTTGCGGCAATTTGTTTAGCTGGCCCGGTGTCCGATAAAAACCGAAGGAAAAACGTGTTTTATATTTTCCAGGATACTACATGTTTTATTCCCATGCGTAGGACATTCAAGGATAAACCATATATAAACTTCCTTAAACCCTCAGTTAAAATTAAAGTTAAAAAATGATAATTCCTAAATATATATTACGGGGATACCTGCTACTAAGAAGTGATCTTATTTGCATATTTTGAATACTAAGTACAATTTCACCAACTTCTTTGCCAATCGGAAAGTACACAAATCAATAACCCGAAAAATGATATCTGATTTTATACTTGTTTTAGATTGTTTCTTTATGAAAGACTATGTATGGGATAGAAAACGGTTGAATTGAAGAAAGAGTCATTCACGTGAGGCGGACATTGTCGCCATCCTGGGATGGTGAACTTTCCTATGAAAAGACCAACCAACATCTGAACGAATTTATATACCAACTCAAACGCAAGGACTGCAAATAACAGTTAGTCATAGGACAATAACCGCTAAAAGTGCGCGGTCAAAAACGATAGTAGGATATCACATCAATAACTTTCCTTATGAATTCAAATTTGCCCCGACTGGTAAGCAATTAAACAGACCTTAACTTAGCCACGCATGGTCTTTCTCTCTAGTTACGAATCAGATGTATAAAAATAAAGCACACAAATTTTTAACGAAATGTGATGGGTGAATTCCTTTTTGGTTCGGTGTTCAAAATGGCAATTAGTCGGAATTACGGCCTTTTAATAACAACAACAACTTTAACAATAACTATTTGCAGCCCTGAATCAGCAAAACAGGAACAACATGTACAACCTTTAACCCTTAGCTGGGAAATACATGTTGCCCTTAGGCATTGGCCATCTAAACCGGATCCACAACACATTTCGTCCATAGAGGACGTTCTTAACCAGTACGATGTGATGATAACATTGTAATATAAATCCTATCCAAATCTGACAATGAAAACGCCATGGAGAAAAGGGGAAAAACAGGAACTCGATAAAAAGATGATTCCACCGAAACATTATATCACATTATTGGCACCTTATGGTATTTAGTTTCACTCGAAGACCTGGTTCAAGCCCTTCTTTCCACCTCACAGATAACTCTGAGTGACGACGCGAGCAAATTTCACGCGCATTCGCCTGTAACGCTCGCTCTGCCAACCCTGAAGAAATATGCCGGGAATATCGGATAACTCTGGGACTACCCGTAGTGTATTTTATTTCATTTTAGTTAAAATTCACAGCGGTCTAGCCTGTTCACTGACCCTCTATTTTCTCTTCAAAGTTCGTCGAGCGCGGGTGATAAAATATAAACCGCAGGGGATTTAAGAAAAATTTTAATTAATTTTTGTTTAAACAACGTCTTTTTACAACAGCGGTCCCATGCAGGTAATCGGTACCAGACGTGCCATTAGACTGTCGCTGACGATGCCTTGGGAAATAAAACCCCTTGAGCTTAAATTTTCGACACAAAAATGTTCGTACCATCAGAACGAGACCAGAACAAACAGTGAAAAACACCGCCAAAAGCCTAAAGAGAGTAAAAGAAAAAATACGTGACTTCGGCGCCCTTGTTCCTGCTAATTGGAAGTTCCAAATCATCTCCATTTTTGGTCACCCGATCAGAGCACGATACAAGTCCGAAAATAATTAGAAATCCCCAGGGGCAATTTTTTGGGTGGGTAGTGCCGCTCGGGACTCAAATTGGCACCCCGTTCTAAAAAAAAATCCTTAAATTGATACCCCGTTCTAGAATTTTGATAGCCTTCTAGCGTTCTAAGGTGCAAAGAGTACAACAGTTTGCTTGTTAACGCATTGAACCGTATTTTTAAAAGCAATCTGTCCTTGAATAATTTCAAATGGCTGCTTACAAAATTTAAACTGGAGCACGAAATATTATACCCCGTTCTAGAAAATGCCTCTGAAATGGATACCCCGTTCAAAATCAGGGCACACGAAAAAACGGGCACGCGAGAAGGAGACACGCGACTCCTACGCAGGCTACAGGTTTTGGACGAGGCATGAGGAAGTCCAGATCTACATCCAACAATCGCGCAGGCATATCTTATTATCGAGAAAAATGTAATATAATTAAAGGTTATGCTGCTCAGACAGCTATGGACGGGTAATTTATTTGCCCAATATTTCAGGGGCACCCAACGTCAATTTTCGGAAAATATCTGTTCGGAAGACGATTTGAGATCTTGAATTTCCGGAACATTTGTTGTAAAATTTCTTGCTGCTCAGACAACATCAAAAATGGTATAATTGCCCATTTTTAACGGATTTTATTTGGTCCCCTATATTTTCGATTTTTTTCTGGCTGAAATTTTCGAAATGGTAAGTTTTGATCCCTATAATTTTCGGATCACTAGACTTTCAGCTGGGAAATCCGAACAGATGAAAAATGTTTAGGGGATAAAAATATGCCTGTATCTACCGTTTAAATACTAAAATACGATTAACAATGCTATGTTTAAGTGGTTTTGAACTATATTCTCGTTGGGTGCCCCTGATATTTCGGTTAGGCAGAACTGACCTGCCATCAGGGCTAGAAAAGCTAAGTGAGAACAGATATTAAAATGATACAAAAATATGAAGCAAAATAATATGTGGTTGGTGGAGAAACACAATAGACAGAAGCTGATATATAGAGGTTGAGGTTACTACGAAACTATGTAAATAGATTAAAATTCAGTCCTGTCGGTTTTATCCCATAGGGTTCAAGTGTATTGCTCTTTGGAATTAAAATTCCTTCTCGGGCTTTTCGGATACTATTGCGGAGTGAATTAATGACTTTTAAGCGAATGAGTTCCATGTCTTTGATCGAATGACCGGGAAGACCGAAGTGGTCTGAAAGGGCAGTCGAGTGATTTAGGGCTTTTTCTGTAGAGCGTCCAAATCTGTCACGGAGGTGTCGTTTTGTTTCTACTTAGTATGCATTTTACATTTACAGCACTGGATCATGTAAATGAGATTCTGAAGAAGATGAACAAGAGATGTGTTCTTGTGTTGTCGGGTGCGTCGCTGTTCGTTGTGGAGAAGAAGATGTAAGACGTGGTTCCTTCTGTAATAAAAGGACACGTTTTGCAACTATTCATGTTACAGCTGAAAGCTCCGGTGTTTAAAGGGTTGGACTGGGGTGTCGCGTAGATTGCTAGGATGTCGCGTAGATTGCTGACATAGACGAAGTGGATTGCTAACGTGACATACTCGTAGATTGTTGACTTAGATTCAGTAACGCGGCTTAAGGCCTGCGCCTGCGAGCAGAGGCCCTTCGATCTTCCTATGTAAGTCGGGAGGGGAAAACTGCGGGCGAACCCTTCCTCATCCCGACTTATCCAAGAAGATCGGAGGGCCTCTGCTCGCAGGGGAGAACTAAAACAGCTATGAACCCTGCTGAAGAGCCAGTGTTCTCCTGTTCTACTTGAAGACTGCGCTGATGACTGAGGAAGAAAAATATGGAAAAAAAACTGGGTTCCTAGTGTCTCTGTGTTCCTGGATATCCTGTGTTCAAGGAGTCCGTCCTGGGGGTGATTTCCTTTTCTAAGTAGATAAGTGTATTCTCGCCCTTAGCGGTGGATAGTAAGCATTGCATGTTAGTTGAGAGAGGCATCAGGTCATGAGTGAAATTTAAATACTAAATCAATGGGGTGGGGGTTAGGTACTTATTCAGAGAGGACACTTACTAGTAATAGAGAAAATATGTAAACTTAAAGCTAGAGGAAGAAGGGCCCTGATATGCTTGATGGGATATTAGAGACTTCTAGCATCAGGTTCTTCATAAGGTTAACGGCAAATGGCAAGCCTGTAAGTTATTTACGGTAAAGTTTTTTGCCATTAAAAATTGTGTTGCCTCACGTTGAAAGGCAAGAGATAGGTTTCTACATCCTCCCTGTGATGTGCCAGTTAGATTTCTGAACTCGAATCTATGAATCCTTCATATGTTTTCAGGCGATAAAAATGAAGCACTGCGACTTGACGAAAAACAACACGGCGGCACTAAACAACGAGCGTTTTCGGCTAAATTTCGAAATCCTGACAACGAGACACTGTAAACGTGTAACGCGTTAAACAGAGACTGTATTAGAGAACGATTATTATTTATTGCCCGGGGAGGGAAGGGGCATGAAGTCTTTTTTGTCGCGACCCCTTGTCAAACATTATACCATTTCAATGATCCCCACCCAGTGGTGTTGATCCCCCCCAACATAACAGATACTGTACCCATCAATAACAATGTTATGATGGGTACTGAAAAGACAACTGCAGGGACTGAAAATTCGCCGTATTTAACATGTGGGAAGTTGGTGCTAGCGTTCAGTATGGGGACTGAGTAAGTGGGTAGCTCCCCGGCGAATCGGCGAAAAGTAATTCAACAAGATTCTGTGACTTGGGGATGTAGGTAATTCAAATTGTAAGCTCGCTTATGATGTCCGTATGTGGTCTGGATATGCGAACACTGTTGACTGATGAGGTTTGGCAAGTCTTTCTATCAAATTTTAGTTTCACTGCAAAATTTATTTACTTCGGTTCGCCAATTCTTGGCAGGGTCATCCACAGACTAGACGTGCCGCAAGTCGACTGCTTGAGGATG